GGCGGGGCGAGGGGCGCCGGGCTGGGGGGCGGGCGGGGTCCCCTGTGCCAGACCGGGTCGAACCGGGCGCTGGCCGCAGGGGAAGCTGCGGCCTTGACGTTCGCTGCGGTAAGTCGGTGAGTAGGAGGCATCATCCGACTTTTGTTCGCTGCCACGATTCCAGTGGGCTGCCTGGTGCTTAGCTCCTTTATGGAAAATATCTGGAGTGCTTTAGGTATACACAGTGCGTAGAGCATAGGACCACCGCGAAGATGCTAATTACTAAGTTAGGGAACAAAGACACAAAAAATCGAAGGTAAAGTCCTCTGGGAACCTCTTCCGCAGGGCATTCCCCTGGCCCATCACCGCTGTCTGTCCCTAAGTAATTCATAGTATTTTGACAACTGCTTATTTCCTGAAATTGTCTGAACCCTAGTCTAGGGCATGCTTGTATAACTCAGTTATTCTGAGAAGCCGCAGTGCCTTTCGTAGGAAAATGTTCCAGGGATAGTCATCGGTGCCCTCGATAAAATTTTAAGACCCCGCCCCCCTCCCCCCAAAACCCCTCAAAACGCCCTGCCAAACAAAAGGAAAAAACCCCCGGCAAATAAGGTGTTGCGTCAGCCCCTCCCCAGACTCCACTGCCTAGTTGTAAAGGAAATCATGCTTGAGTTGGAGAGAATTTTTTTACCTTGGGGCAGCTGTTAAGTCCCCTGTAACACCAGCACAGAGGAACTGCGCGCCCCGGACAGGATGTTTGGACCTGGTGTTTTCTTCATAGTCCTCTGTCGCCTTCCTTTCTATTTCTGCAGCAGCTCCTGCAAACTACCTACCCCTTCCTTCATGCTGCTGCTGCTTGCTACTTCTCTGACAGTTGTGACTTAGCTAAGAAATTAAATACAAGCTATCAGTTTGTCTTTCCAAGATTTTTAATGTGAATACAAATAACACAAAATAAAGCAAACAGAGGTAAAGCTGCATAGGATCCAGTGAATTCCTATATTTAAGAACTAGGGAGGACCAAGAACTAGAGAGAACCAGTATTCAGTATAAAATTTAAATCTGAAAAATAAAATGTAAGGAAGTTCTATTTGGAAATAATGACCATAAAATTGAAAAAGGCCAAGTAGGTAAAATTTGATATGTATAAAAACTAGATTGGTGAATCAGATCTTTGTGTATAATTTAATGAGAAAATAACATCAAGATAAACTGAAATGGAAAACATTTGGGGAAATGTTACTGTGTTTTAGAAAGTTGATCAAGGAGGTAACTTGGCTTATTGAAATCTACTTTACAAATGCTTTCCTAATAAAAATCTGTTAATGTCTGCATATAGTTGGTAAAATATTGGCCTAAAGTATGCTGGAATCAGAATAGTCGGTCATAGTAATCCTCCATCAAGATGAGAAAAAATTAACTCAGGGAAATGTGAGCATTTCATATATTTCTTTAATATACTTATGAGGATTAAAGCTGCTGGGGTCTAGGAAAGAGCAAGGAGATTGGGAAACAGCTTTTTTTCCCTTGGAAAAAAATTTGAAGGAAACTAGAGATGTTCATTTGGCCAGAAAAACACACTTTAAAAATAGCTGACTCAGTTTAGCTCAAAACTAGATGTTCCTGTACCTTCGTTTACTTAAATTCCCCTTTTGTTCCCCAAGCTGGTAAATCAGTAATGTCATGTACTAGAGAAGCTAATCTGATAAAAAGAATAGAGTGAAATGTATTTTGCTGGGTAGTGTGAGCTTTGAAATTTTTCAAAATATAAATTAATTACAATATCATATGTTGTTAATTGCCTCTGTCTTTTAAAAGGGTTGAAATAATGTTAAGTACTACTTGAAATCTGAGATGGGAAGGACCGGCATTTATTATTTATCTTCAAAAAATGCAAAACAGAGGTTATATTTAAAAACAAAACAAAAATACCTGTCTTAGGAAGTATAGTCTGTGAGATAATGGGTGAGTTGGTAAAATTATTTATTTGGTCAGCTCATGGGTATACAATGACAAGCATTTTTCCCATCTTACTCTTGTTTTCTGACTATGTAGAAGACCTCCTACCCCTAGATTGGGATGTTTTTCCCTTGTTTGGAAGAGGAAGAAGTATGGATGGATGTGTAAAGTTTTGGTTCCACAACAGAACGGTTTTTTACTTTGTCGTTGCTGTTTTGGTGGTGCCAAAATTGTACACTTCGGTCCTGCACCAGGATTTTGGCCTCTGTCCATGATCAGGTGAATTGCGGTTGAAGGAGCTCCCTAGGCTTTTACTTGGTGTGGCAGTGGATTTGGGGGTAGTGGCAAGTAAACCAGATTGCTTTGCTTTGGGCAGTTCAAGTGGTAGATGATTTGTTGACTTTTGAGGAGATTTTCTGGAGGGGGTTTTGTGCTTGTGTCAATAGGTTTGTAGAGTATATTTACTGCAGCTATTTACTGCTGAGGTACTGTGGTCATTCTTATAAACAGCTTTAGATACGAAAGTCACAATTTTAGTAATCAGTTGATTTCTCTTTAGTAATCAGTTGATTAAATTTATGTAACCTTTCCATTTGTCTTAAAGCAGCAGACATCTAGAGATAATTGTTTACCAGCTATTGATTTTAATGCACAGGAATAATTAACATCTAATTTCCCTTAAATTTGTTAAAATAGTTACTTAAAATTGATGAACAAATAGCTGAGTACCAATTGTGTAATGATGTGGATAATATTGTCCTTAGTTGAGAACTGTGTACTATATAAAAGTTTTTCTTCTTCTTTTTCTTCCCAGTACAACATCAACATCCTAATATAAATCCATCAGAATGACACCTTCTCAGGTTACCTTTGAAATAAGAGGAACTCTTTTGCCAGGTATTGTAAAGTTTTACTTTAAAACAGTGTCTTAAGTGAACATTTTTCTTATCTGGATTATCTTAAAGATAGTGTTATTATGAGAATGGGCCTAATTTTTAGATGAAAGCATCTTTAGGTCTTGACTGATACTAGAAATGTACTCAGAGCATAATAAACTCAACAACAAACCTCCCCGTATACTAAGTATCTTATTCTCTTTATTCCTTTTTCAAATTTGTAATTTTTCTTCTTTATCACAGTGTTCAGCAAAGTATCTTAGTCTCATGTTTTCCGAGAAAGCTGTGAATTTATTTAATTTTCCATAGGACAAAGATAATTGGGCTATGATAGCAAGGAAATGAGGGGAATTTTGCTAGTGCAAGAAGTTGATGAAGTATTTGGCTGAGATAACTTTGTTCTTGTGAATATCTGTGTTTTGCCATCTATTAAAGTACTGTGAAACAACTGTAGTGTGAGATAGCCTGTCTAACAGTATTACACCTGGGTTGTGTACCTTCCTGTCTTATATACTCTAGTTATTCTGGCCTTTTTTTAGTTCTTCAAATCTGCTACATTCCTTCCTTTTTGGGGACATCTACCTAGATTTGTGCCCACCTCTGGGTTCTTCCCTTGCCCTCCACCCCCAAATCCCACATTTCACTAGGTTAGAGCACCTGTGAAATTCTCTTAGGCTTTCAGTACTATTTTTTAGCACTTTTAAGAGATTTTATAGAATTATTTGAGTAATTTTTTTTGTGGACAGATTACAAAGTGTTAAAACATGACCATGTCTTATTTATTCTGAATTCTTGTACCTAGCACAGTATGTATGTATTCAAAGAATGAAAGACTCATGTTACTTTTCTTTTTTTTGAGACAGAGTCACAGTCTGTTGCCCTGGGTAGAGTGCCATGGCGTCTTAGCTCACAGCAACCTCAGATTTCTGGGCTCCAGCCATCTTCTTGCCTCAGCCTCCCAAGAAGCTGGGACTATAGGCACCTGCCACAGTGCCTTGTGAATTTTTTCTATTTTTGGTTGAGACAGAGTCTTGCTCTTGCTCAGGCTGGTCTAGAACTCTTGAGCTCAAGGGATCCTCCTTTTTCGGCCTCCCAGAGAGGTAGGATTACAAGCATGAGCCACTACAGCCGGACTCATTTAGGTTACTTCTGACTTCTTTGTTAAAACATTCATTACAGCAGTTGGCAGAGAGAGAGAGAGAGAGAGAGAGAGAGAGTCTAAGTTCAGATCCTTACCTAAGGTCTGCTACAGCTGTTCCTGACTGGGCTGAGTTCTGCAGATTGAAGCTTGCTAGTCAGCTGATGAATTGGCTCCATCAAGTGCTCACTTCTAGTCTAATGTGTGTCCTCCTCTGTGGAGAGAAGACTGCAGAACTATATTGTACCCTTTTGAGTAGTTGTAGGCAGGCAGTTTAAGCTAGAAGGAGCTGACCATGTCAGGCAAAATAGACTGAGCCCAGAATTAGCTATAAAGGGTCAGCATGGTGAGGGGGACACTTATTCTCAGTGATTAGGGAGGAAGAAAGTAATGGTAGATGTGGATGTAGAGGACTCCATATGTGGGGACAAGGAGGTAGAGAGGAAGTGAGGGAATGTCGGGGGAGACTGCCCACCTCAGCTCATCCTTCACCTGATTTTCTCAGTGCAGGGGAGGAAGGATTCCCTGCTGAATGTGGAGAGAGTGGGAAGTGCAGAGGGAGTGAAGTTAGAGGGAACAAGTAAAAAGAATATTTCAAATTGCTTTACTTAGCATTGGAGTCTTTATTATCTTTTATAAATGAGGGCCAATTAAAGAAAGAGATCTGTTTTAGTGAAAAGTTACCCTTTTTTTTTCAGAAGCCATAATCCCAGGGAATCAGCAGGAGGAGAAATAACACTGCAGGAGGGCAGTAGTAAAGTGCAGGAGCCCCTACAGGAGGAAAGCAGCCACTGATTGCCCAAGTTGCATTTGGGCTTTATGTTCTTTTCAGAGCATAAAGTAGCCTGCTGTTGAGGGTGGGGATTGACTATATGAAAAAGTTTTAATGAGACTCTCCCTTGTGAAAGAAGTACATGTGTGATGGCCCCAAATCAGTGATTTTGTGGTAATCTGTACTTTGAGAGCTAGGAGCCATAGCATATGTTATACATGTACGTATGCTAGCAAACAACATAATGATCTTGGGAATGAATATTTGTGCCTTGTAGTTAGCTCAATTGTTTAACACCCCCCCCTTTTTTTTGATTAATGGAGAAGGTAGTGATACCTAAGTTAATTGGAAAAACAAAACAAAATGGTTACTTTTATGGATTGATGAATTGTTTCTTTTTTTGTTGTGGTTGTTGAGACAGAGTCTTACTATGTCGCCCTTGGTAGAGTGCTAGGGTGTCACAGCTCACAGAAATCTCAAAAACTTTTGGGCTTAAATGATTCTCTTACCTCAGCCTCCCAAGTAGCTGGTTCTACAGGTGCCTGCTACAACACTTGGCTGTATTTTTGTTGTAGTTGTCATTGTTGTTTAGCAGGCCCAGGCCAAGTTCAAACCCACCAGCCCCAGTGTTAATGACTGGCACCCTAACCACTGGGCTACAGGCACTGAGCCAGTTGACTATTTGGACATGAAATCCTTAACCATGTTGTGTTTTACACACATGTATTTAGTATCCTGAAAACTAAATGATTATCACACTTGGAATTTTACAATGCAGGCTTAGAAAATGCTTGTGCAGGTGGCTTTAAGCTGGCTACAATTCTAGTCTTTTTAGAGCAATGCCTCAAGCCCAGTTGTTCTCAGAATGTGGAGGAGTTTGCCTTGAACCAAATTAGCATTCAGATTCAATTCATTATGTTTGTGAATTTTAATTATATTAATTCAGAATGTGTTGACATATGTCAAAGACTTCTGCATATTTATATACAAGAATTTGTAGACTTCTGCTAAATATATAAAATTTAGCAAGTAGAGACAAAGGTTTCTTTTTCTTTTCTTCTTTTTAAGACCGTGTCTAGCTCTGTCGCCCTAGGTAGAGTGCAGTGGCACCATCGCTGCTCACTGAAACATCAAACTCTTGGGCTCAAGGGACCCTCTTGCCTTGGCCTCCTGAATAGTTGGAACAACTGTCATAAGCCACCACTCCTGGCTAATTTCTTTCTATTTTGGTAGAGATGGGGTCTTGCTCTTGCTCAGGCTTGTCTAAAACTACTGGCCTCAAGTGATCATCCTACCTTGATCTCCCAGAGTGCTGGGATTACAGGCTTGAATCACTACATGTGGCCAAGGTGGAAATTTTATGTTGGCCTTTGAAAAGTCTTGTCTGTTTTGTTTTGTTTTGAGACAGAGTCTCAAGCCGTCATCCTGGGTAGATTGCCGTGGCTTACAGCTCACAGCAACCTCCAACTCCTGGGCTCAAGCGATTCTCCTGCCTCTGCCTCCCAAGTAGCTGGGACTATAGGCACCCACCACAACACCAGGCTATTTTTTTGGTTGCAGCCGTCATTGTTTGGCGCCCAGGCTGGATACGAACCCACCCAGTCAGGTGTATGTGGCTGGCACCTTAGCCGCTTGAGCCACAGGCACCAAGCCAAAAAAGTCTTTTATTTTTTGAGACAGGGTCTCTGTCACCTAAACTGGAGTGCAGTGGCACAACCATAGCTTACTGTAGCTTGGCGTTCTTTGGCTCAAGGGCTCTTCCTGCCTCAGCCTCCCAGGTAGCTAGGACTACACGTGCATTACCATACCTGGCTGGATTTTGCAGAGGTGAGATGTTGCTACATTGCTCATTCTGGTCTTGAATTTTGGGCTCTAGTGATCCTCCCACCTCTGTCTCTCAAAAGTGCTGGGATTATAGGTGGAAGCTAGCACGCCCGGCCAGCTTTTAAAGTCTTTTGATGAGAAGTGTTCAGAAGAAATGATAGTCATTAGTTACATCAGTAAGAGTTCTGTACTATGTTTTTCACTATGTAAATTTTTGTTTTGTGGGGTTTTTAATTACTGCTATCCCATTAATAGTGTTCTTGATTTTTAGCTTGTTAATAGTTCCTCAAAAATACTGATTATTTCTCTAGAATACTTAATGTGTATTCAGAGTTTGCCTCTTTAAACGGAAGCTGCCTTGAAGGTGGGGACTGTGGTTTGACTATTTTGTATTCTTTGTTACTTGCTAAATTGGCTTAATATGTAGTTGAATGGATGAAGAAAAATATGTTTTTATATTTTCCCCACCTGTAAAACACAGGTGCTCGTGTAGTAACTGGGCCCAAACACGTACCCGCCAGTGAGGCTCTTCCATGTGCTAAAGGAGAGGTCATATTCAATTGAACTCACTCATGCGACTGACGGCTCTTGCTTCCTAAAACTAAAATTTGAAGCTTTCTTTTTACTTATTCCCCCTGTAACTGATCTGTTTCTTTAGGAGAAGTTTTTGCAATATGTGGAAGCTGTGATGCTTTGGGAAACTGGAGTCCTCAAAATGCTGTGGCTCTTCTTCCAGAGAATGAGATAGGCGAAAGGTAGGCATGGGAATACCAGGTTACGAGTAATTGCAGCATTTAAATAAACATAAATTTAGGGGCTTCTAAGATACCTTGATGGTTTTCTTTTAGTTTTAATTTTTGTCAAAGTTGTCAAATTTACATAGTCAAAAGAATGAAATAGTTTTGCAAAGTTTGCATGGAAAAAAGTTTCCCCTGTTCTTAATCTCTGCCACTCAATTCTTGACTGGTATTTAGGTACTTACTACCACATTTATAAATAATAGGCTATATTATTATTATTTTTTAACTTTTAGGCATTATCCTTTGAGCAATCTTCTACCTGCCACTTCACCCGGGTAGTTTTTCAATTTTTTCTCCTTTTTTTTTTTTTTTTTTTTAAAGACAGTCTCATTTTGTTGCCCTTGGTAGAGTGCCATGGCATCACCGCTCACAGCAACCTCCAGTTATTGGGCTTAGGCAATTCTCTTGCTTCTGCCTTCCGAGTAGCTGGAACTACAGGTGCCCGCCACAATGCCTGGCTATTTTTTGTTGCAGTTTGGCTGGGGCCAGGTTTGAACCCACCACCCTCGGTATATGGGGCTGGTGCCCTACTCACTGAGCCACAGGCGCTACTCTAGTTTTTCTATTTTTAGTAGAATTGGGGTCTCACCCTTGCTTAGGCTGCTCTCAAACTCCTGAGCTCACACGCTGCACCCGCTTTGGCCTCCCAGAGTGCTAGGATTATAGGCGTGAGCCTGCTGCACTCAGCCCCTCAGTATGTGTTCTTTTTTGTTTTTTAAGATAGAGTCTTCCTATGTTGCCCTCAGTAGAGTGCTGTGGCATCACAGCTCACAGCAACCTCAAACTCTTGCAAGCAATTCTTTTGCCTCCCAAGTAACTGGGACTACAGGCACCTGCCATAACGCCCAGTTATTTTTTTGTTTGTTTAGCAGGCCCAGGCTGGGTTCAAACCCACTAGCCCCTGTGTCTGTGGCCAACATTCTAAGCACTAAGCTACGGGCACCAAGCCAGTATATATTCTTTTTTTTTTTTCCAGTTTTTGGCCAGGGCTGGGTTTGAACCTGCCACCTCTGGCATTGGGGCCAGCGCCCTATTCCTTTGAGCCACAGGTGCCGCCCCTACCAGTATATATTCTTGATAAGAAATCTAATTAGTTTTTGTTTTTGCGTGTATATTTTCCTGATAAGTATATGAGGTTTGACAGTCAGGTTGAGCTTATACTAGAACAAGTGCTACATATCTCGTTGCTAAATATTACTGTAGTCACCTTTGAAGTACTTCCCTTGGGAAGCTATACACCAGTGTTAGAGCCTTGTCCATCCTTCAAAGCAATTTTGGAACTCTTTCTGAAATGGCCATCACTATGGTCCCCAAAGGCCACGTACTTCAAAGGTGACTGTAGTAATATTCAGCAATGAGGTAAATAGTGTTTTTGCCAGGGTGAGTTAGTGAACTTAACTGCCCAATCTAGTATGGTATTAAAAGGAGCAGAGAGTGGAACACATACTTGATGTCTTAGCTAATGTGAAGAAGTGTATCCTTAGTAGCATTAAGTCCAGCTAAACTTGATATGGGAGCAGTGGACCAGGGAAAGGAAGACTTGGTGTCAGTGGCTTCTACAGTTAACTGTTTTTCACAGGTTAGTTACTCCCTTCAAGTGGCTATTTCTTCTTTGATTGCACATCAGCCTCTCTTGTCTGAACTAAAACCTTGTATCTTTCTGAACTTGTTGCTAAAACACACCTCTACCTGTCTTAAGTCTATTTCAGCCAACTTGGTCAAAGTGATGTGACTAGAACAAGAAAACATTTCACTACCTTCAAGGACCAGTCAGTTTGATGTTGATTGTGTGCAGTGAAGTAGAATCGATTCATATGTAATAGATAAACAGTGTTTTACTGGGAGAAAGGAAGTAGGTGACAGGAGAGAATCTGTTTGCCTTTAGGCAACATTCTCGTGTTTCAGAATTGTGTCTGTTTGGAATTGAGTGGACTTTACGTTTAAGTCCTGTGTTCCTCTTTGGTAGTCTTCTCAAATCACCCCTCACCAGCTGTCCAGGTTGGAATTTTTTTCTGCTCACAGAAACTAGAAGGTTGTAGTATTATTTCCTGATAATGCTGAAGACGTGGGTCACTTGTGCTTTTATCTGCTCTCCGTGTAAGATTTTATGGTATTTTAGGAGAGGATGTGAGGGCAATTCAAAGGCAGCTGCGCTAAACCACCTCACTGCCCTGGTTTCCTGGTTTTTCTTGAATATTGTCAGATTATGTTCAATCTTTACTGAGCCTTTGTGGTTTATTCTTAATTTTGCTACATTTGTTTAGAGAAGTAGGGTACAAAGGCTCATTCCTTTGCTGTTTCATCTCTTATTTTCATTTTAATGTTTTTATTTAAGAGATGAGGTCTCTGTTGCCAAGGTTAGAGTGTAGTGGCTCAACCATAGCTCACTGTAACGTAAAACACTGGACTCAGGCAGTCCTCCTACCTTACCCTCTTGAGTAGCTAAGACTACAGGTGTTTAACACCATAGCTAATTTTTTTCTTTTCTTTTTTTTTTTTTTTTTTGAGACAGAGCCTCAAGCTGTTGCCCTGGGTAAGTGCTGTGGCATCACAGCTCACAGCAACCTCCAACTCCTGGGCTTAAGCGATTCTCTTGCCTCAGCCTCCCAAGTAACTGGGACTACAGGCTCCAGCCACAATGCCTGGTCATAGTTGTCATTATTGTTTGGCAGGCCCAGGCTGGATTTGAACCTGCCAGCTCTGGTGTATATGTCTGGCACCTTAGCTGCCTGAGCTACAGGCGCCGAGCCACCATAGTTAATTTTTAAAAACTTTCGTTTGTAGAGACAAGGTCTTGCCGTGTTGTCTGGGTTGGTCTTGAACACCTGGCCTCTAGTTACCTTCCTGCCTCAGCCTCCCAAGGTGCGAGGATAGATAATAGGCATGAGCCAGCATGCCTGACCATTTTAGTGGTTTTTAACCAGTAATACACATTAGAATCACTCCGGAGGATTTAAAAAAAAAAAAAAAAAAACCCCAACTAGATCCTATTCCTGGAGACTGAGAAATAGTGGATGAAAATGGGCCTCAGCATATTTTTTTGACTCTTCCCACTAATTCTACTGGTCATATGGATCGCATCTGGGCTAGTGTCACATACTCTGGCTGTTTTCTTGAGGAGATAGTACTGGAAATTTGTTAGGTTTTTTTTTTTTTTTTTTTTTTTTTTGTAGCAGGGATGGCAGATTTCTATTCTGAAAATTGATACATTCTGCCTGGAGGCCTGTGTTGAAAAGGATTCTGAGGCTTATTAGGGAGAAGTAGGGGCACGTGTGCCATGTATTTGCTATTCTTTCTTTACCATGGTGATTTGTAACCAGCCATGTATATCTGAGGGCTCTGTAAAGCTTTACCAGTTTACATATGACCAGGCACCATCCCAAGTTTGTATAATCGGGAGCTTACAGAGTAGAGCAGGGCATATGTATTTTATTACTACCAGATTCACATGATTGTTCAAGCTAGGACCATGTGGACAGTTGGTAGTGGACATAGGCATACCTCAGAGAGATGTGGATTTAGTTCCAGACCACTGCAATAAAGCAAATATTGCCGTAAAGTGAGTCATATGCACTTTTTTGTTTCTTGATGCATATTTAAGTTACATAGTCTGTTGAGTTTTTAATTAAAAAATATTTTATTGCTAAAAAATGCGAGCAGCTATGTGACCCTTCAGCGAGTTGTGATCTTTATGTTGGTGGAGTCTTGCCTCAGTGTTGATGGCTGCTGACTGATCAGGGTGGTGGTTACTGAAGCTTGGTGTGGCAGTGGCAGTTTTTTAGAATGAGGTGACTCTTTTCATGAAAGATTTTTCTGTAGCTCGTAAGCACCAATGAAATATTGTGAGAATCACCAAAATTTGACACAGACGTGAAGTGAGCACGTGCTGATGAAAAAGTGGTGCCAGAGACTTGCTCAACACAGGGTGGCCACAGACCTTCAATCTGTAAAAGGCAAGAATGCCAGGTCTGCCTGTATGATGAAGTGAAGTGCAATAAAACAAGGCATGCCTGTATTTTGTTAGGAACCAGGATTACATCAGGGTGAGGATAATGTCCTAGAAGGTGTCTTCGTGGAGCTAGGTGGAGAGCAGTGTTAGCCATCTGGCATCGAGGAAGAACATTTGGAGTTGCTGTTTACTCACTGAACTACTCATGCTGAAGTAATGTTTGGGTAATGGTCTATGACAGTGGTTCTCAAACATAAGTGTTCATGAGAGCCACCTGGAGGCTTGTTAAAGTACAGATTTCTGGGCCCTTACCCTCAAAGTTTCTAATTCAATAGGATTGGTCTGGGCCTGATAATTTGCATTTCTGAGAAACTCTTCAGCTTATAATAATGGTCTTAGGACCACACTTTGGATATACAGTAGAGTCTCTGTAAGTCTTACCTATAGAGGTGGTCAACCTAAGGAACTAGGCTACTGTGTGATACATCATGTGATGCATGTCCAGGTCTATGAGAATTAGGTCAATGTAGGGAGGTGGTCAACTATGGAAGTTCTACTGTAACTGGGTTATGATCTGAAGCTATTATAAAAATCAGTTACAGTTAAGAATTGTGCATTCTTCACTTGGAGGCAGCTGTTGAAAGAAAGTCTTAGCTTCTGTTAGAATAGTGTGGTACAGAGGAAGACATGGAGCTGAAACAAGATATAGATATTGATTGCTTGGGTAAGGCAGGACAGAACAAGGGATGTCCCTCACTTGTGACGCAAAGGCCTTGGACCCCAAACCTTTTAGCAGTCATGTAGCATCCATGGCGAAGGGGAATGTCAGAGAAGACTCTGCCTCTGGCTTCCACTTTTGCACTCCCTCGATTTTATGTTTGAGATATTTCTCCTGGCTCTTTGTATGGCTGGTTCCTCCTCATCATTTAGGTCTTGGTTCAGACATCCTTCCTCAATGAGATCTTCCTTGAAAAAGTCTACTCTAAAACTTCTACAGAATCTCATTTGGTTATTTGTCTGTCTATCCGTACAGCAAAGCTCCTTGAGGACAGGACCCCTCAGGGTTTATTGCTGTGTTCCTGTTGCCTGCTACAGAGTGGCCTGCAGTAAAGTTTTGTGTGGAAATGAATGAGTGGTATTGAGTATAGATTTTATTTGAAGGGTTTGGTGAATTAAGAGGTCTGTATGCCTTGTAGTTTGGTGTTGACGCTGTTTCTTCTATTTTTTCTTCACAGCATGCTATGGAAAGCCACCATTGTACTCAGTAGAGGAGTATCAGTTCAGTATCGCTACTTCAAAGGGTACTTTTTAGAACCAAAGGTATGTTTTCTTTATCTAGTTTCCAATTTCTTTAGCACTTCTTCCAAAAGCAACTCACTTAAGTTTGAAAACATTAAAAGTAAAATGAGTTGGGTCACATAAGGAATAGAACTCTTGATTAATAGAATTTTAGTACCTAAAACAAGGAAATTGCCACTTCAGAGGCAGATGATGTCTGCCGTGGAATTTAAAAAGACATAGTAAGTATGTTCTGCAATATTTTTACCATGAAATTTGTTTTACTAATAAATGTTCTCTATAGGTATTTATTTCCTATAACACTTGTGAACTAGTTAGTAACCAGTTGTAGGCATTTTTGTTTTGTTTTTTAGTCGTAATGTGAGATGAATTCATTTAGAGGGGTATATAGCCAGCTTTAAGTGAGTAATTTCTTTTTTTAAAATTATTTTGCAGCGGCCATCTCTTCGTGGCTGCATGAAATCCACAATTGAAGTGATTCCTCTTCGATTTTTCTAAAGATCGTATTGATAGGCCAGTATGTTTTCTGAAGACCTTTGGAATATCTATTAATTGTAAATCTGCCTGTTCACAAAGATTCATTATTTTTGGATTGTTTTTATATTTAGGAAAGGAAGTCAGTTCCTTTTCTTTTATACTGAATATACTTATTTGCTGAAAGCATTCTTTTCCTTCAGATTTTTACCTTTGGCACCCTTGGGTTGCATGTGAATAAAGGTTTAAGCAGGGGGTCTAGGAAAAAACGTGTATTATATCTTGTTAAAAAATGTATTTCCTTTGGGAGTAATTGAATACTCTTGTAACATGTGAACAATGCAAGCAGCCACTGTTACTTCATTCTCTTAGCCACCATTATTAAAAAAGAAAACTGACAAACCCACTTTAGCTGTCTTTTGCACCTATTACGTTTCTTATTACAAGAATATTTTGTAAATACGCAGTGATTAAACTTAAAATACGTTATGGTTGATCAGTGTGTTGGCTTTTCTTGACAATGGTCTCACTTTAACAACTTTAAAGAGCATCTGTCGTTTATCTGGCATAGAAATTATGTATCATGACAGACTTCTTCGATATAAATTGAACTACTATTTGTAGATATGTAGGTCATAGTTTGTGACAGTGGAAGCTTATCTGAGTATCCTGGTATATGAAATTTAGTTTTGTGATGTGAAATCAATTTTACTTAACAAGGGGAGTTTGAACAAGAAAGATCACAATGAGTCCTTTGGGCCTAGTTTTCTAAAGTAAGACTGTTGTCAACACAGGTCAAATTAAGCCAACCTATAGTATTTTTCCTCTTCAGTGAAAATGTTAACCAAAAGCAGAAAATCAGCCTACAATGCCTTTTGAAAAGATTGGCAAGAAGTCTGCTTAGTAGTAAAAACCAAGTTTTTCTCCTTGTAATACTTGCAAAAGTTTACAGTATATGTTGGTGAGTGTGTTTCTTTAAGTAGGTGCTCTGTATCGTGTACACATGTACCGTGTGATGCAGGGGCTGCCATGGTAAGTATGTTTTTCATGGACTAGAGTAAATAGCTACATAAAATCCCATGCATATGGCTACAGTTTTTTTTTTCCCACATGCCAGCTTAAAGTAAAACTTCTTTTAAAAATTGGTGGCACTTTTTAAACAAAACATTTTTAATACAAATAATTTTGAAACTTTGTTTCAGTTGTGCATTGTCAAATGATAGAAGTAATGTACAAAGGATCTTAAATTGTGAAATGATGTAAATTATTGGAATACATATGTTATGAATATAAAGAATGATAGGAAACCAAAGTAATTGTGAAAGCATTTAAAAGCTGAAATAGGAGATAAGATTAATTTTACTGGGTCAAAAGCTTTCAGAGGTCATATACGTAGGCAGTTTTACCTAGGCTGAAAGTCTCAGGATATTTGGACAGTCCACCTGACCTGTAGGCTTCAGTTTCCTCAGCTATAAAATGAAGGGTTTGAACGATAGATTTCTTAGATCTCTTTCTTTGCTAAAATTTTATTGAATAAATAAATAAAGTTTTGCCATTCACATTTTCCTCTTCCATACTTTGCTTTTTCGGACATATTCCTTTTAGTTTAGATGTTAAGGATTCTGAAATCCCTTTTCTTCTATTTTTCACAGCTCTGTATTCTCATACACTTTGTAAATTATAAGATGTGTCAAATTTTAAAATATTTTTATTTGCTTAGATGACTAAGCAAAATATTATTTAAATGTAGCACATAAAGGTCTTATTGATGTGAAACATTGATATGTGTCTGCAGCAAGTATATTGATTTCATATCTTCACTGAAGATCCTTTTGGAATTAACATGCAATTGAAACTTTTTTTCCCCATGTTTACCCCTCTTTGCTGGTAGGCATATTTCCTCATAATGAAATATTAGCCAATTTTTAATTAGATCCTGTAATATTTTTCCTTCACTTTTGTGAAATTCGGTTTTATTTTTCAATAACATATCGGTATTTTAACTTTTATAAGAGCTAATATTATTAGATCATTACAAACTCTCTTGTTCTGATTTTAATCTCCTTTGATTTTTGTTTAAATCCTTTGGCAAAAGAATCAGTCATCTGTGATAGACATAATCATTGGTTTTCAGAATAGCCTAGGTTATCATTTTGCGTACAGTGATTTCTTAGTACAGAAAAATTCTCAGGATGCTAACTACACCCAGCAGTTAACTTGAGATTTGAACCTTTAGAGATGTCTCTTGACCTAGTTTACTTTGCTTTACTTATGCCTAGGTGAGCATTTGTCTTATTGGATCTTACTAAAAAACAGTAATTTTTAAATAACTACTGTGGGTATGGCCTTTGTATGGCATCGTAGAGAAAATTCCTCAGATCCCTTTTAGGTGGAGGTTATTTTCAAAATTGTGGAAAGAAAACAGTAAAAATGTTAAAAGTTGGTGATATATTTAAGCAGTAATGTTACATGACTAATAATTTTGCTTGGTGGTTTCTTAAAAACAAAACTCCACCTTACATGTTGGGTAGCCTTTTATTTTTATTTCTCTCAGTACTTGATGTAGCTGAGTCATGTCAATTATTGTTTGAGACAGCAAGCATTAAATTTTTTTTCTTGTGGAAATATTGATTTTTTAAAATATTTTTGTTAATATGCATGCTTGAAAACATTTCTGCAATCATCTGATTCTGTATATGCTAACATAGGAAATTACCAATACTATTAATGAAATATTGTCTTGGACTGATATTGTTACTCTTTTCTCCAAAGATCCACCTTCTGCTTTACTCCAAAAAGCTTAAATTGCGGCAGCCTTTTGCAGAATGGAACTGTTCTTTTTCTAAGATCTTGAAGAATGAATTTTGACAGTTAATATATTAGAAAAGATGGTGTGTTTTGGAATCATCACTGACATTTTGAATTTCCTAATGCCATGGTCTTAATTTTTTTTTAAAGAATTTATGTAAAGCTAAAGTATAAAATTACCTTCTAAAGTTTCATAAATAGCCATAACAATTTTTGAAATATAATTTATTTTAAAGCTACGTTCTTTCTTTCTTTCTAACTTATAACACTTTATATATCAGCCAACATGGACTTGTAATGTGAATGTTAATAAACATAAGATCTGTAGAACTGTCCCTGTGGACTACTGCTGAAATACGTTATTCAGGTCCAGATTGTTTTACGCTGTGTAGAGTGGATTTGTTACTAAAGTAGCTGAGAGTAGAGATGTTAAAATTGCAACTACAAGGGCTGAGTGTGGTGGCTCACACCTGCAATCCTAGCCCTTTGGGAGACTAACACAGGAGGATCTTCGGAGGTCAGGAGGTTCAAGTTGCAGTGAGCTATGACGATACTGCACTCTAGCCTGGGTAACACAGTGAGACCCTATCTCTAAATGAAACAAAACAAAGCGAAACAAATTGCTACTAAACTTTATTCCCCATCACATTCAATCCACAGGACTATTCTTATACACTTTGTGAAGTTCCCGATGTTGGAATTAGAACAAAATAAACCACCTCCTCTGCTTTACCCACTTTTTGTCCCTGTTGACATTTAATCTTACATTCGTGCCACCCCTTTCAACCTACCTTTGATTAGTAACTTTTATAAGAATTTGGGTCTATACCACCTTTGTAGAGGTTTCTTTAGTGGTAGTAGAGGGGGGAGGACGTTCAGGGATCATGGATGTGGTGGAGGAAGGTCTTAGCTTAGTTTTTTCAGACGTCTTATTGCTAAGAAGTCTTATTCTTATTTTTAATGTGTACGTTTGCATCTTTTGAGAATTAGTAAGCTTGATGGTTAAACAACAAACTTTAAAAACGTGTCAGGAAAAGGTTGTAAAAAACATGGCACAATAGGACAAATTAAATGTATCTTCTTTTTAGTGGAATGGATGTGAAATTCACCGTATTCTAAGATGAGCAGTTTCATGTTACATTTCTTTCTTTCTTTTTCTTTTCTTTTCTTTTTTTTTTTTTTTTTTTTTTTTTGAGACAGAGTCTCATTTTGTCACCCTTGGTAGAGTGCTGTGGCATCATAGCTCACAGCATCCTCAAACTCTTGGCCTGAAGTGATTCTCTTGCTTCAGCCTCCTGAGTAGCTGGGACTACAATCGCCCACCACAATGCCTGGCTATTTTTAGAGATAAAGTCTTGCTCGGGCTCAGGCTGGTCTCAAACCTGTGAGCTCAGGCATTCCACTCACCTCGACCTCCTGAGTGGTGGGATTATAGGCATGAGCCACCTCTCCCAGCCCTTTGCTACACTGTTTAAAAAAGTTTTTCCCAGTCTGTGTAGTGAACTCATATAGCAAGCAGGTAGTCAGCTTGAGAGAAAGTATTTTATTTAATACCTCAGGGTTAATGATTTGAATGAATAAATAATGCTGTTTTAATTTTTAATTTTCAAGTTTGCAAATTAAAAAAAGAATTTTAACTGGCTATTTTAAGGGACAGAATTAGCTCTTGTCTATTATTAGTTAATCTTATAAGTAATTTGTTACATATTTGTTACTGTTTGGTACATTTATTATAACCAGTGTTAAAATTCTGTGAAACATGTAGGAGAGTATTCAGTGCCATCTGAAAATACACATCTTACAGAGAGAAGCTGTTATTTTCCTGGCTTTTTAGGAGTATATATAATATATGCCTACAAGTGGGCTCAATGATTATATAAGAAAATGTTGATAATTATCCCTAAATGGTGTGATAATGGTGATTTTTGTATTTTCTTTTTGCTTCTCTGTATTAAATTTCTTTAGAGATCATGTAAAAAAGGAAAATAATTAAGGTACCCTGTAAGCTTACAGTTTGAAAATTTGCTTCTAAAGTGTGGGAGTTTTTTTTGTTGTTGTTTTGTTTTGTTTTTTTTGTCTGTTTCTTATTTTTGAGACAGAGTCTCACTTTGTTACCCTCAGTAGAGGACTGTGGTGTCATAGCTCATGGCAACCGTGAACTCTTGGGCTCAAGCGATTGACTCTCTTGCTTCAGCCTCCTGAGTAGTTGGGACTACAGGCCCACCACAGTGCCCAGCTGTTTTTAGAGATGAGGACTCTCAGGCTCAAGCTGGTCTGCAACCTGTGAGCTCAGGCAGTCCACCCACCTCGGCCTCCCAGAGTCCTAGGGTTACAGGTGTGAGGCACCACACCTGGAAAATTGTGTATTTAAGAGTTTTATTTTGGTACATAATTTTAACTAGTGATTTTTTTTTTAATGATTAAAGGAAAATTAGGGCACCTTTAAACTTCAATGTTTTAGATATACCAGGGAATCTTTGGTATGTCATTGCTTAAAAGTTGCTGTATGTTATCAGCAGCACATAGAGGCTTTGTTTTATTTTGTTTTTAGTAAGGGAACTTGATAACAGAAGACAATATGAGGAATTGTCACTCAATGAGTTTATAAGCTATAAGGTGTAAGAATGAAGCTAGTTGTTGGTTTCTCTTTTATCACAGTTCTTCAAATTTCCCATCCATATGTTCTTTCTTTTAGGGTTTTCTGTATTCTTAGCAACACTGGTTATAATAATATGAGAAATCTGATATTCTTTTTTCTACTTATTAGTCTTAAATAAAATAATAACTTTATTATGCCTGTTAGCTCCTTGATAATCTTAAAGTACATGTTCCTACTCTTTCTGCTGTTGTACACTGATTTAATTTTTTTCCAACCACTTGGAGACTTATTAAATACAGCAGGAGGTGGATGCTGTTTTTGAGGACCACCTCCTTGACTGCTGACACACCAAACAAAGTATATTTGGCATTAATCTTAGGACGGAGTATCAGTTAAAAATTTAGATTTCTTTGAAAAACAGAGTATTATGGGCAGGTTTACGAATGGGTTTAAAACAGTTCTGTGTGCCAGCTCATCTCATTTTTCTTTGTTTACTGCCTCACTCTCATTTTCTTCCAGCATTTCATCATGTTTTGTGACCTGGTACATTACTGATTTTTGGCATATAATATTGATAATCACCAAGATGAATCTCTTGGTCTCATATTTAGTATAAGACTTAGGCCACAAACATCTAATGGAGTCATGGGTAGAAAATAAGATATAAGAAATTATTGCAGACATTTAACTTTTAAATTGCAGACTATCGGTGGTCCATGTCAAGTCATAGTTCACAAGTGGGAGACTCATCTACAACCACGATCAATAACCCCATTAGGTATGGGCATTAACTGCATCTGTTTGAGGCATATGCATAAAGTTACTAATATGCTGCACAGTGGCTTAGAGGGATTGAATAAATTTTTATTCTAAAGTTTAAAGTCAATGCATTGTCAGTACTACAGATTTCACTGAGCATTTCATGGATCTTACTTTCAAAACTAAACAGTTTTTAATTGCCTTTCTTTATAAACTTAATTAGAAATGCTTGCCTATTTTTATTTTCTTGGGTTAGAGTAATTTAATTTATTTCATATGGGGTGATTAGAAAGCTTGTAAGATACCATTCTTCTTGATTGAACATCCGTGGCTCTATCTGATTACTTGCTCAGGCCTAGAGAACATTTGAGGAAAGGATTAATCTAAACCAAAGGCTCTTAAATTTTTAACTTTAAACAGTAGAGTAATATGACAAGTTATTTATTTTTAATTAGTAAATACTTGAATAAACTTGTATGAATGAATTCAGATTTCTTTGTTATGGTAGATATAGATTTAATTTATTTAAATTCCCTGCTGGCTATGCTAAAATTGATACTTACGGAGTTTTTATTTTATTTTTTAAAAATTACTCAGTTTTCTTATGCCTCTGGCATTTCTTTTCATACAAGTATTTTCTAATTTTCTTGTCCATATTGAAAATAGAATTTGAAGTTCATTCTACTTAATTCTTCTGTAAATTGACTCAGTTTTTAATGTAAAATTAAAATTTAAAGGTAATAACTGGCTTGCTGGTTTACTAGCTTAGAGAGCAGTGAAAGTTTCTTTTTTTTTTTTAAAGTTTCTTCTTTAGCCTGTAGCAAAGACACATCTTGTTTAAACAGATAACCTCATTCCATCCTCTTTATTGGATTTTCTTTTTGTATGTTTTTAATAGGTTTTTGGTAGAGTATTTACAATTTTTATGACAGATACTTAAAATTGTAATAGTCCCATACTGAGGTTGGAACTTAAGTAGCAAAGTTGTATTTTAAAGCATCTTGTAGTTAAATGTATTTTCTTACTGTGATAAGTGAGATGACTTTATTTTTTAAGAAATAAGTTTATTTTATGCTTTTGAGAAATATAACTTTTGAACTTAAGCTGTATGAAATCTATTAGAGAATCTTTATTAGAAACTATCACATTTATTTAGACAAATATTTGAAATTTATGTTTAAATTAAACTGGAATTAGACTGGGAAGATAATTAGTATTTTGCTCAGAGGGGCAGAGCTTTACAGCTTCTCTCCTTTAGTTGAAGTTTCTGTTAGGAGAAGGGAATGTGCTAGCGTTTACTCTTTCTTTGCGAGTTTCTCACAGCTCTGTATGTAAAGGTAAGTTTACACTGTTTGTAAAGCTTTTAGCTGGGTGTAGAGAATAATGGGGATTTGAGGAGACTTATGTTTTAGACAAGTTTAGAATGTGCACTACATAAGAATAAGCATTTTAATTGTGCCAAGACCTTTGGTTTGAAAAATCAGCAAGGAGTTATTATTGTCCAGCAACCTGTAAGTCTTGTCCATTGATGAGGGTAGAAGTTCATCCCAGTGCCTCTAGAGCACTCCTCTGAGGAGTTTTCTTTCTCTTCTTTATGATATGAATAACCACCAAAGTATGTAAGAACTATTACTGTTTGCTAGCCTCCTTAAAAGAGAGTTCTTTATTGAGGGCTACAATAAATATGCTTATTCACTTTGGGCTGCTTTTTAAGTTATACATTTAATACTTTAAACCTTAAGATGGGTAATTTCTCAGTTTTTCATTTTGTACACTTCATGAATTTTAACTGGGTTTTCTATTTTCCTTAAATTCTAGAAAATGAAATTACAATTGATGATGGACAATTTGGAATCCACAGTAAGTGAGACTAAGTTTTTTAAATGTTTGCTGGTGTGATTAAGATGGTACTTTCTATTTCATTGAAAATAGGGAAGGAGAACATACAGTCGCATGCTACTTAACCATGTGTTACCAAAGAAGAACCGAATATGCAACAGTGGTCCCATAAGATTGTAAGGGAGCTAAAATTCCCATCCTCTAGTGGTGTAGCTATTGTGCAGTGCATTACCTTTTCTGTGTTTAAATATGGTGACGTACACAGACACCACTGTGTTGTACTTGCCTGCAACATTCAGTGCAGTAACGTGCTGTGCAGGGTTGTAGTCTAGGAGCCGTAGGCATACCATGTAGGTTTGTGTTAGTTCACATGTGATGTGAACACAGTGAAATCCCCCAATGATGCATTTCTCAGAATATATCTCAACTGTTAAGCGATGCATAACTGTAGTCACAATATGAAAACAGAGAGTAGATCCAAGAAATAATACGTTTGGTTAAATAATAATTAGTTTCCAATATAATTTTTATGCTTTAAAATTTTATCCTTTTGATTTTTGGTTGACTGGTGATTTATAAGCGTATGACTTAATGTAATTAAATGTATATAGTATATTTAACTATTAACATAGCATCTCTTTTTAACTCTTGTTTTGAAATTTATAACTCTAAACATCTAAAGTAGGGGTGTCCATGGCTGCATGCTGATTTTGTGAGGACTTTTTTTGCTTTTCTGTGATGCCAAATATCATGAAAAGTATGTACAGACCTTTTCTGTTTGCTAATTAGCTCTCACTAATGTTTTTGTACTTAATGAGACAACTTCTAATGTGTAGCCGAGAATTAAAAAAGGTTGGACACTCCTGATAAGATGCGAAACATTACTCTTAGGCAAGTGTGTTTTGTGTTTGCATTTACCTTTACAGTAAAATCCGCATTAACCAAGATGTTCTAGTAATTCTGAGTCTTTAAAGATTCTTTCTAAGAAAGTAGAAAATGCCTTAACTTCTAAATATGTTGTTATATTTGTATGCTTTTCTGCTTTAGTAAATACTACAACCTCATAATGCAAATTTTCTTCAGCAACTAGACTTTTTATGTTACATCTGGGTTGTCATGGTATACTGCGGTCTCATGTAGGTACTATGTAGGAGTCAGGGCTGGGCATGGTGGCTCACACCTATAATCCTAGCCTTCAGGGTGGCTGAGGCAGGTGGATCACCTGAGCTCAGGAGCTCAAGACCAGCCTAAGCAAGACCAAGACCCTGTCTCTAAAAGCTAACTAAGTAAGATACAATATAGGAGTCAAAAGGTAGAAAGGATGTGAGCAGAACATGTGCCTGCACTGACTCAGACTCAGAGATAAGTTGCTGATGACCAGCTTGCTTTCCTGTTAAGCACCAGAAACAGCAGGACCAGAATGTTTCGGTTGTGGTTTTGCTATGTGTTTATGTTTATGTGCATTAGAAACGTACATGCTCTGGCAGTCTTTGGATAGGAATGTAACTTTTTTGCCTTGATTTTGTTTGGGATTGTTTATATTACATCAGAAGATTGTCTAAAATATTTGAATAGCTTTAGTGGCAAGTATTTTAGAGTCTTGTCCTCTTTATTATTTACAAAAGATAATATTTATGCTGCATGTTTTGGAGAGCTTTCTTTGTGGAGGAATAGTTTTCTCCCTTTTTTAGTGGTATAACATGGCATTATGTCCTCTATTAGGTGTGAATTACTATTTATGGTTGGAAAGCATTTTTATGGAAGTTCAGCTTTAGTTCACTTTTCCAGATGGAAAGCAATTTCTTCAACTTTGTCTTTTTCTGAAAATAATGCTTAACATTTGACAAGTTGTAAACAATCTTAAGTTATACTAAGAAGAGAAGTTTCTTGATGTCCAGTGACAGCTTCTCTGGTATTTATGAAAATCTTATTACCTTTGTAAGTAGGCAGCTTCAAGTTAATGCTAACACAGGATCATCAAAATCATGCTATTTATTTATGATAAAATATGTAAATATGAGAATATAGAATTGACTTGCAGTGCCCTTCTCATATCTCGAACCCCCAGAACTAGTTTGAGCCAAATATCTCATGTGATGCTTTGAAAGTGTAATAATTATCCCCATGAGAACAATTGCTAGGTTAGATCCTATCCTAAAACATGCTCTTTCTAAAATAAATTTGTATTATTTTAATCATGGATTCAATATGAATATTTTAATTTACTTGAGTTGCTAAAGCCTAGCTAATTGTTAATAGTCATTTAGCTTTCCCCCCATACTTCATGTAAAAGTTCTTTTTCAATGACAAATTTAAAATTACCTATATATATGCTTTGGGGAGAAAAGTAGCAGTGTTACACCTGTGTATAACTTCAATGTATTAAAATGTGAATGTGAACTTGTCAATATGCATTAGTACTTCATGGTTGTTTCAAAAAGTATATGTAATAACTACTGTTCTTCATATTTGCTCTGCCAGATGGTGTTGAAACTCTGGATTCTGGATGGCTGACATGTCAGACTGAAATAAGATTACGCTTGCATTATTCTGAAAAACCTCCTGTGTCAATAACAAAGAAAAAATTTAAAAAATCTAGATTTAGGTATGACCATGTATATTTGTTACTTAGGGCTTTTATATTTACTAATGCTGTAGATTTAATACCTATTTGATTTTGTCTTTTAAGTGTATAAACTAAGAATAAAGTACACTTACAGATGTTACATGTTGTAATAACTGTAGGGTTTTGTAGGAGTGGACTGCTTCCCCCCCTCAGATTGCTACTGTTACACATACTTGGTAGTCTTAATCTCTAAATTCAGAGATTTGTGTTTTTATAGTTTCTATCATTTGAAGTTTCCTAATGAGCAATAAATAGTTTGTTTTAAAATGGATGTAGTGGAGATGATTTTGTATTAAATGAGGGGAGAATGGCATAAACAGAGAAAATGATTGTTGAAAATATTCTTTAGGGTGGCACCCATAGCTCAGTAGGTAGGGTGCTGGCCACATACACCGAGACTGGTGGGTTCAAACCCAGCCCAGGCCAGCTAAAACAACAATGACAACTGTAACAACAACAACAACAACAAAAAGCTAAGCTGGGTGCTGTGGCGGACGCCTGTGGTCCCAGCTACTTGGGAGGCCGAGGCAAGAGAAATGCTTAAGCCAAAGAGTTTGAGGTTGTGAGCTCTAACGCCACGGCACTCGACCCAGGGCCACAGCTTGAGACTCTGACTCTGTCTCAGAGAAAAAAAAGAAAAATATTCTTTACTATTCTAAATTTTACTAAGGCTTGAAAATAAAATTTTCCATCAAAGAAGATAAAAGTTGTCATAGCAATTGCAGATTAGTTTTTTTTTTAAGAAAATTTTAGAGACGTCAAGCTTTGTATAAATGGTTAAATAGAAGTGACTTTATTTTTCTGTAATGTTATTATACTTATCTTTGAGTGAGCTAGCTTCTTGAAGACCGAGGAGCCCTATCATTTGAATTTTTGTGACTTTGCAACTAAGAGTTTTTAAGTCTTTAAAAAAAATTTTTTGTGTGTGGAGACAGAATCTTAGTAGTGTCTCACAGCTCATAGCAACCTCGAACTCCTGGGTTTAGGCGATTCTCTTAGCTCAGCCTCCCGAGTAAGCTGAAATTACAGGCGCCTGCCACAACGCCCGGCTATTTTTTTGTTGCAGTTTGGCTGGGGCGGAGTTTGAACCCACCACCCTTGGTATATGGGGCTGGTGCCCTACCCATTTAGCCACATAGCCACAGGTGCCGCCTGAGTTTTTAAGTCTTAATATGTAAAATGGTGGGTTTTTGTTTGTTTGTTTTGTTTGTTAAGAGACAAGAGTCTCACTATGTCACCCTTGGTAGAGTTCCATGGCCTCATAGCTGACAGCAACCTCAAACTCTTAGACTTCAGAGATTCTCTTGCCTCAGCCTCCCAAGTAGCTGGGACTACAGGCACCTGCCACAATGCCCAGCTATTTTTTTTGTTGCAGTTGTCATTGTTGTTTAGCTGGCCTGGACCGAGTCCAAATCCACCAGCCCTGGTGTATGTAGCCAACACCCTAGCCACTGAGCTCCGGGCACCAAGTCTGCAATACAGTCTTTTCTGACAAAATGTCAGGGCCGTTTTTAGTGACTGAAGTAATTGATAATAAATACAATACTTATTATTTTCATAATAAAATTCATAGTGACATTATAGTTTGTAAATCCTTAAATATTTTACTGTAATTACACCGAGACTGGTGTAATACCAGTGTAATACCTTAAGTAAGGTATCACAGATTCTAATCATAAAATAGATAAGGGAAAAGGTGAATGGCCCTTCATAATCCCTCTGTGCTGGCTGTTCTGATAATGCGTGGAGGGTTTGGGGTGTACCTTGTCTTTTATCTTAGCTTTTTGAAGCCTCTCCTTTGCTTCTGAAAATCCAAGATGATTGGGGCACATGGTTCATCTACAAAATCCATTTGACCTCAGAGATATTTTAAGTATTAACAGTTAATTTTCCATAAATGAATATTTAATTTACTTTTTTTTTGAGATAGAATCTGACTGTGTCTCTCAGTAGAGTGCTGTGGCTGGTGTTACAGCTCATAGCAACCTCCAACTCTTGGGCTTCAGTGATTCTTTTGCCTCAGCTTCTCAAGTAGCTGGGACTACAGGTGCCCGTCAGAACGCCTGGCTATTTTTTGTTGCAGTTGTCAGTTGTATAGCTGGCCCAGACTGGGTTCGAACCCGCCACCCTCCATGTATGTGGCTGCCATGGTAACCACTGTGCTACGGGAGCCGAGCCTACATGTTATTTTAAAAGAAACAAATAAGTTGTGTTACAGTTGTAAATTGTCTTGATAGAATAGGACTTTGAAATAAAAATATAAGTGAAAGATAAAGCTTTGGTTGGTTGGCTCATTAGGATTTTTTTTCTTTTGGCTGCAGTTAAGAAATTGATAGAAAGTTGGGTGTGGAGTGCTGCCTCATGTCTGTAACCCTAACACTCTGGGAGGCCGAGGAGGGTGGATTGCTTGAGCTTAGGAGTTTGAGGCCAGCTTGAGCAAGAGCGAGACCCCAGTCTCTACTAAAAATAGAAAAAACTAGCTGGATGGTGGCAGGCAGGCGGATCTCTTGAGCCCAAGAGTTGAGGTTGCTTTGAGCTATAATGATGCCACAGTACTCTAGCCAGGGTGACAGAGTGAGACTCTGTCTCAAAAAAAGAAATTAATAGATAATTAATGGTTGGGGTTTCGATTGGAATGCAAATAAATACTGAACCCTGTACTGTTCTCTTTCTCCCTCTTTTTTTTTTTTGAAATCCTCTTGTCTTCAAAATATATTATTATTTACATAGAAATCACTTTTGAATGTTTGCACATATTACCATTTGCTTAGGCTTAAGTTAAATCGGAATATTATAACCGTATTTAGTTAGGCTCTATAAATTAAATAATTTGATTTATATTGAAATAGTTGTGCTTAGCTAGAGATTAGAATTCTGGTCATCTTTTTTTCCCCAAATTCATATTAGTGGTAGACTAAGCCTTCAAGCAGTAGGAAATAAATTTGTCCACAAGAACTTGAGGACTTTAAAAGCTTAGTCCTAGCTACTTGGGAGGCTGAGATGAGAGGATTGCTTGAACCCAAAAGTTTAAAAGTGCAGTGAGCTGTGATTGTGCCACTGCACTCCAGCTTAGGTGACAAAATAAGACTCCTTAAAAATGAGCAAACCATAGCAGCATTTTACTTGTTTTTGTTTTAAGCAGCAGAGTCTCTATTTCATAGGTTGGAATGCAATGGTTATTCCTAAGCGCAATTACAGTGCACTACAGCATCAACTCCTGGCTCCAAGTCAGCCTCCCACCTCCCCCTCCCAAGCGGTGGGGACTGTAGGCACCCACCACTGCACCTGACTCAGCTCGTGCATTTTAAATAAAACCCTGGACATGTATCTCATTATTGCTAAGTTTTAAACACACACTCTCTTTTCCATTGATTCCACCAGTGTATGGAAAGCACAGTGTCTTTATGATGGGTGGTAACACATGTATACCTATTGGAATAAAATTCCTTTAACATCATAGCATCAACTAAGTTCTTTCTTAGATCCATTCCCTTTAAACTTCTTTATTTGTCTGTGTAAAAATGGCTATTCTCCCAACATGCTTCTTTGCCTGTTCATTTCTTTCCATTTGTGGTCTCTCTATATTTATTGTTACATAGAATGTTTGCTCTTTCAGGCTTACCAGTAGAATCAGTTATCTGGAACCATTCCTAATGGTTTGGTTTCTGAAACGGGATGATTTTGTTTTTGGTTATCAAAATGCTACTTTTGACTTTATAGTGCAATTATAGTACATTACTACTAATAGAGTAACTTGTGTAGTTGACCTCACAGGGAGACCTCAAAACTACATAGCTATAAGACAAGGTTGGGGGCAAGGGTCAGACAGAGAGACTAAAACAGTTTTTTAATTTGTATTATAAATCAAATCCCATTTAATGCTAGAATGAAAACTTTTTGTAGTTCAGCTGTTACTCTTTATAATAACATTGCTCCCTATATTAAAATGATAGTATTTTTCTTTTTTTGAGAGATGGAATCTCACAGTGTCACCCAGGGCATTGTTAGCCTAGCTCACAGCAGCCTCAAATTCCTGGGTTCAAGTGATCCTCCTGCCTCAGCCTCCTGAGTAGCTGGGACTACTGAGGTCTGCCAGGACACCCACTAATTTTCTATTTTTGGTACAGATGGGGTCTTGCTCTTGCTCAGGCTAATCTTAAACTCCTAAGTTCAAGGGATCCTCTTGACTTGACCTCCCAGAGTACTAGGATTATAGCATGAGCCACTGTGCCCAGCCAGTATCAAATATTTATATACTTCAACTGGTACAGGAAATATTCTAGAACTTAATTTATTTTTTTGTCCTTAAATGTGCTCAGTGCAAATAATTGCTGCTTATTGGGAATAGACTAGTATTTGTGGCATTATAAGTTCGGTAACTGGTCTTTGTTTTCATTGCTGTGAGACCTGTGATTTAGATTCTTGGCTTATTTGTTACACACACAGGGTATCAAAAAAAGTATACACATTTTAAGAAAGAAAGAAACTATATTAAAAGTGTAATAGTCAAGTCCCATTTGACTTCTGCATTACACGGGGCATTCAACATGACATGTATTCATCTTTTGTTACCAGTGTGTAGTGAGTATTACAATTTTAACAGTTTTCTTCTTTCTTAAAATATGTATACTTTTGTGTATTCCTGTGTGTGTGTGTGTCTGTCTATATATGTGCATGTATGTGTGTGTTTGTGTTAAGTACAACTTTTTTTTAGTAATGTACTTTTCACGAAGTGCCTGCACTTTCACTGTGGCAAAGGGAACATGTTCAATTTAAATCACCAATTGTAAGTCTTTTAATGAATACTAACAGAATATGTTTCAATTTTGTGCTTGTTTTATATATATGCAGAAACATGTAGATGATAACATCAGTATTTTAGAAAACACTGGTGACATAACCTGTAGTATGTATATTGTTGTTATTTGACAATTTAGTGTGTTTGGGGGGCACTTTTTAATTAAACATTTATATGAGTTTTTCTTCTGTGCTACTTCGTGCATTTCATTGTTTTTCCCTATTATGTAGGGTAAAGCTGACGCTAGAGGGTCTGGAAGAAGACGACGATGATAGGGTGTCTCCCACTGTTCTTCACAAAATGTCCAATAGCCTGGAGATCTCCTTGATAAGTGACCATGAGTTCAAGTGCAGGCATTCACAGCCAGAGTGTGGTTACGGCCTGCAGCCTGATCGCTGGACAGAGTACAGCATACAGACAATGGAACCAGACAACCTGGAACTAATCTTTGATTTTTTTGAGGTGAGTAGTTATTTTAGTGAGGGAGTTGAAAAAGAATACAGATGTAAGCTTATTTTTATGTACATTTTGATTTTTATTTTAATCCAATTTATGTAAAGCCATGATTCATACAATGTTTTAGATGTTTGCTCCGCTCTTATACTTAGCAGCCATAAAAAATACAGAATTGACACACTCAGGTACAGTTAATAATATGCTTCAGAGAAATTTAGCAGAATTAATGCTTCAAATCAAGACCAGATGCCTTGTTGTCTGTGCCTGTGAAGCAGCCTGGATATAAATGAATTGCATCCAAAGGAACCTCTAGTATAGAGGACTGGGCAGGCTGTGTGCCTTTTGGTGGACAACCTGGTGTACCTATCTGATAGCATCACTGAGTTGTCTTCTCAATGGAAGTCTGTCATTTATCAAGATGTTTTATTATGAGAAATTGGTGTGACAATTATTTGGCAGCTTTACTCAAATTACTTGGGTATTTGCGTGTGTGGGTGTGTAGGGGAGAAGGAACAGACAGACAGGAACTCATTCTGACGCCCAGGTTAGAGTGCAGTAGAGGGGTCATAGCTCACTGTAACTTCAAACTCCTGGGTTCAAGCAATCCTCCTGTCTCAGCCTCCCAAGTAGCTGAAACTATAGGCATGTGCCACCATACCCGGCTAAAGTTTTTCTTGTAGAGACAGGGGGTCTCGCTATGTTGCCCAGGCTGGTCTTGAACTCTTTGACTCAAGCAGTTCTCTCACCTAGGCCACCCAGAGTGCTAGGATTACAGGCATGAACCATTGTATCTGGCTTGAATTTATAAATACATAATAAAAATAATTAAAAACTTGTGCCAGTTTGTTCACAGCTGTGCTGCCAACTTTCTAGAGGTTCTTATGATACTTTCATTAGAGCTTGTTAGCTCCAGGCTGTTAAGATGCTCCCCTCATAAAGTACAAGGTGTTTCCCTGAGGTCCTAACTGCAGTGTGCCCGGCTCAGTGGTTACATGTACTGCTGTTTTCTTAGCCTCTAGCTAGCTTTTCTGCTGCTTCCACTCCCATTTCCACAAGATTAGAGTTCAGATCTTTGAGGGTAGGGGACATGTATTAACTAACAGGAGCACCTAGCCACAGTGTCTTGAGAGCTGCAGATTGGGGATGGTTTTAAACCTATAGGGTGAACCTTGTTACATATAGTAAAATTATTATGATCTTTGAGTTAAATTTGATAATGCTTGTAGATATTCTTTATGAATGGGTACAGAGCTCTAAGTAATGAGATCTGTGAGACCTCATTATGAAGAAAAGTTTTTGTTCAACATTTCCTCTTTGCCTTAGGACCTATAGTATTTTAATAATGTCATTAGCATCCTAACTTCACTTTCATTTGGTTTGCAGTTTTGGTAATACTATTCTATTCATAGACTAGGCTGATAAAATAGCCAGTGTGATCTCAAAAGTATTTGGTTTCCAAGAGAATTATTATCTCTATGTGCCACTTGTGTGGGCACATTTTTAGACAATCTAATACAGAGGTCCTCAAACTTTTTAAACAGGGGGCCAGTTCACTGTCCCTCAGGACTGCGGGCCCTGGGACGAGTCGGCTGCTAAGCAGGACAGGCAGTGGTGGCAAAAACACCCAGCGGGCCGGATAAATGTCCTGCATGTGGCCCGCAGGCCATAGTTTGAGGATGCCTGATTTAATATATCTGAAAAATTCACCACAAAGCTTAGTCTTACAATGTAAAGGTGTTTAGAAGCTTATAGGCAGTGCTTTAATTTCACCTACTGCTATTAGATCAGAAGTGCCAGTCAGAATTGTGATTAAATAATATATAAAAATCTTAAAATATTTATATTTATCTTTTATTATAAATAAACCATCAAAATTGCCTGAATATAAGTTTGATTGCATTTCTTATGGGTCAGTACTCTTCCATAGACTGAGTTGACTTTAAGGTACTTTTTTGATCTTTAAATTGAAAATCTCCAAGAATTAGGATTATCTTAAGCCTCATTTTTTTTAGGAAGATCTCGGTGAACATGTCGTTCAAGGTGATGCCCTTCCTGGACACGTAGGTGCAGCATGCCTCCTGTCGTCCACTATTGCTGAGAGTGGGAAGAGCGCTGGAATACTTACTCTTCCCATCATGAGCAGAAATTCCAGGAAAACAATAGGCAAAGTGAGAGGTAAGTTTGGAGAAGCAGTGGGAAGACCCTTTGCAAATAAGCTAAGGCTAAATTTGCTTTAGATTATTAACTGATGTAACAATTTTAAGGAGCATATCTATTAAATTTTTTAGGAGCTTTACTTTGAATCAATTTTCACTTGCCTTTTTTTTCTTCTATTTGATAGAGTTTGACAATGGTGGTTTAAGTGGTACTTAAATGTATTTGAACTCATAATGTTTATCTCTTCCTCTTTTTTTTTTCCATGAAAGTTGACTATATAATTATTAAGCCATTACCAGGATACAATTGTGACATGAAATTTTCATATTCCAAGTATTGGAAGCCAAGAACACCATTGGATGTTGGCCATCGAGGTGCAGGGAACTCTACAACAACTGCCCAGTAGGTTGAATATTTGAATAGGGTTAGCATCTAGTAGCTTATGTTTGATAGGGTTACATTGATTTAACCCACTAAGGGTCAAATGCTATTATTATTACTCTGATTTGGGAAATAGAGTTACCATTTCAAAATGATGAGAAACTAACCTAAGATTCTGCCAGCCTTTCTGATACTCTACTGCATTATTACCGGGAAAGGTGTTCGAGGTAGAAAGGCAGTGAGGGAAGCTTGCTGCAGAAAGCTTTGGGGGTGCTCTGCAGTGGTGTCTGCATGGTGGTCCTTATTACTGACGTGTTGCCCTCGCTGAGTCTCTCAGTTTCCTTATCTATAAAATGGAAGGGTTTGAATAAGATTATCCCTAGTATTATTCTTTTAGCTCCAAGCACCATGGTTCTAAGAAAGCACAAGCGAACTTAAGGAATATTATAATAGTTCATCTAGACCTCAGCAGAAAGATGGTGTGTCTCTTCTCCACAGACATAGGTTCCAGCCTTGCAAGTTTACTTAATCACCTGCTCATTGCCACAGATTTTCTATTGTAAATTTTAGCCATACCCCATTTTATTTTAAGAGATGGCTGCGATAGCTTTGAAATCTGTGGAGATCATTAGGGGATCTTTTAAGGTCTGTAATACAAACCAAATCACCATTTAAGGAAGAAGCACCCTCAGGCCCCATTTTACAAATAATAAGTGTTTAAGTTTTCCATCCTTTTTTTTTTCTTTTCATTTTAGAGATAGGGTCTTGTTCCATTGCCTGGGCTAGAGTTCAGTGATAGGATCATAGCTCGCTGTTCCTACCACTCTATCTCCTGCTCCCCTGCTTAAGCAGTCCTGGGTCAGCTTCTCAAATAGCTAGGACTATAGATGCACTCCATCACACCTGACTAAAATTTAGTTTTTGTTGACACGGGTTCTCACTATGTTGTCTAGGCTGGTCTTGAACCCTGGCCTTAAGCAATCCTCCTGCCTCAGCTTCTCAAAGTGCTGAGATTATAGACATGGGTCATTGTTCCCCTTCTTGTTTTATTCTTTTTTTTTTTTTGTCATTTTTGGCCAGGGCTGGGCTTGAACCTACTACCTCCGGCATATGGGACCAGCGCCCTACCCTTTTGAGCCATGGGCACCATCACTTATTTTATTCTTAATGTAGTTTCTATCCTTCTATCCTGTTGGTGTGTCAGTCTTTCCCTATTCCCCACAGTCTACCAGCATAAAGTCATTTGTAGGCTTTATTGCAAAGAGCAGGTTTCTATTCCATGCCATTCAAAAGGGTTATTTTTCTTAATAGGTCATCCTACTTGTCTCTAATAAAAAATCTACAGTTCAGGGAAGGTATGTATTTTGGTATAGGATATATCTATGTTTAGCTTGTAAATACCTAAGTTTTTATATGCACATATTAGCCATGTGATTACCACAGTTATAATTTGGGGATGGCACAATTAACCTTAAAATAGAGAATAAGTATCATTTCCCATTGTTGAAAATATAGATGGCTTTCTGTTATGTTTCTTTCTTAATTTTTTTCTATATTCTAAGATAACTGCATTTTTCTCTGTTTTAGGCTGGCTAAGGTTCAAGAAAATACTATTGCTTCTTTAAGAAATGCTGCTAGTCATGTAAGTAACCATTTTTTCTGTAAACAACTTTAGATTGCTGAGGTAGAGGAATGTGGCTCAGAGGAGTCTCTTTCAGTCTGCAGTTTGAAAAGAGACATTGATGCTGCTTCTGCAGTGTTTCTGTGTGAAGGGGAACTGTCTCTTGGGGGTTATGTTTAGACCAATGTTGAAGATTGAGATAGAGACAATAGAATCAGAAGCATCCTTTTGAGATAACAAATTTTGAGCAATTGAAACAAGAAAATTCTCTTTAAGCATTGGTTTTCACTATTTGAAAAGTGTGATTATTTAGATACTTTGGAAATGGTACTTATAGGGTTTGATGGTGCTTTTATGTAATACTAAGAAAATTATCAATTTCACCCATTGTACGACAATTTGATTATATTAAAATATCTTGATTCCGTCTTGGCACCTGTAGCTCAGCAGCTAGGGCGCCAGCCACATACACTGGAGCTGGTGGGTTCAAATCCAGCCTAGGCCCAACAAACAACAATGATGATAACTACACTCCCCCCTCCCCTCCCCCCAAAATAGCCAGGCGTTGTGGTGGGCGCCTGTGGTCCCAGCTACTTGAGAGGCTGAGGGAAGAGAATTGCTTCAGCCCAAGAATTGGAGGTTGCTGTGAGCTGTGATGCCACAGCACTCTACCCAGGGCAACAGCTTCAGACTCTGTCTCAAAAAAAAAAAAAAAAAAAAATCTTAATTCCTTTCTTTTATCCAATCATGACAGGTTAGAGGGGTTTTTTTTAGTTTTTAATATTAGATCAAGTAACTGCCACTTGACATTTTTAATCAAGAACCTGAAATTCAGGGTGGTGCTTGTGGCTCAAGGAGTAGGCACCAGCCCTATATACCAGAGGTGGTGGGTTCAAACCCACCCCAGCCAAAAAATAATAAAAGAACCCTTTCCCCCATTTTTTTCATACCTGACCAGTCTCATGTTCCAAAGTGAAACTAGGGATAAAATGGACAAACATCTCAGTTTTTTATTCTCACCTTTTTTACATTGTCTTCTACGTGCCTTAAACTTTACATTATTTATTTTTATTTATTTATTTATTTATTTTGCGGTTTTTGGCCGGGCTGGGTTTGAACCCGCCACCTCCAGCATATGAGGCTGATGCCCTACTCCTTTGAGCCACAGGGCACCACCCAGCTTTACATTTTTTAAAAAGGTTCAGGGAGTAAATTTGATGAGTCACTCATTTAATTTTATCAGTTATATAAGTTAACATCTCTTCTAAGATGTACTTTCAAAGTATTTTATCCTCTGTGAAATTGTAGTGGGTTTTACAACTTAGCTTTGAGTCATGGTTTAAGTGGGAGCATTTCTTTCCCTCTTGGTTGTATATAAAATAATGATGTATTTATAATTCATGACTTCTTGAATTATAGTAACTATATTAATGTATGAGAATATTAATAGTCTTTGTGTTAAAGGATAATATTAATCTATGAGTATATGGGACTATAATTCATAATTTGAGACCAGTTTTGGTTCATTATAGTTAATTAATCTAAACGTAATTTTATTAGCTATAAACATGTGATGATCCTGATAGAGAATTTTCTGGTTCATCCTTTTTGAGAGAATATTTCATTAAGCCTTCTTCCATATTCTGATGAAACCCTTTATAACTCACACAGATCATATTTTTAAATCTTCATTTAGTTATTAACAGCTCATTGGCTTGTTTTAATGTCATTTTTGACGGTCTTTTGGTCTTGGCTTATTTCTTAAACCTCACACATGAATTGTGGGATTAAGTTTTATCGCAGTTAAAATTATTTTCCAAAACAATTATGATTATTTAAAATTAACAAACATTTATACTAAAAAGCAACAACTTAAAATGTTTAAAAGTTAGTACTGTTTAGGGGGTACTAGCATTTATCTTCTTTGATAGAATTGATTTGTGTTACTGTCTTGTTTAAAAGGAACTGAGTTTCCTTTTTTGGGAGCCAGTAAGGACATAGGTTTCATAGCCAGACTCATGGGCTCCTTTGGTTCTAGTGTGTGATACATGTGTACTTACAAGTTGAGCACTAGAGCCAGTGTAAGGGGTAAAAATGCATCCATGCCTCCTTGTGTGGTACTTCTGAGGGTCACAGTTAACAACATTGCCAGACCATGTTACCTTGGACCCTAGCTGTCCTAGTTTTCTTTTAGTGAATGTACACGTTTGTGTATCAGTGTGTATTGCCAGTCTTTAACTGTATTAATTCATAGGAGAAAAAGGAGCTGACTTTAATAACTCTAACTCTTTGTCCTCATCTGTTTAGGCTTCCTGAGGAAACTGGACATGGGCATCATTCATACTGCCCGTTTCTGTTTTCTGTGTCTGTTCAGAGCAGTGGTTAATTCAACACTGACGTATTGCTGAGAAAGGTTATAAAGTGTACTCTCAGGTGCACTGAGAATCAGAACTAAGAGGCTCTGTAGCTTATTCTTTTTCTTACCTGTTCTTTGAGGCTCAGTCTAGCTGAGGTATACAGGGCCAGTAGGCAGCAAGGCGAGGGAACCCTGAGCTCTAGGTTCTTGTTAGGTTCGATTTCTGCTCATACATCAGTTCTCATTTTTTCCAGGAAAAAGTTGCTGTACTTTTGCCAAAGAGAAAAATAATTGTTTTACAAAAAGAAATTACTTTTTAGGAAAAGCTTGACGTGTAGGTGTAATATTAAATCATTCATGAGGAAGTGTTATGTTTTTATGCACAGGTCTTTAATTTTATAGTGAATGGCAAATCTCTTATGTCCTTGTAGTTTTAGATATATTGTGTACCAGCTGATGTTTCTCAAATACTTCCTTCCATCTGTCAGGGTGCAGCCTTTGTTGAATTTGATGTCCACCTTTCAAAGGACTTTGTGCCTGTGGTATATCATGATCTCACCTGTTGTTTAACTATGAAAAAGGTACGTTGAAATTCCTTCATTTTAAATTCTAATTGTTAGGTACAAGATTTAAAAATTAGAAAGTTTATTATATTTTTAATTATTTAGTAGAGTTGATCATTCATTTTCTTGGCAAATTGCTGCCAGTAAGGAAGTAGACTTACTCTTACAAACTCTCACAGTTCTGAGAGAGTGAGAAAATGGGAATATTAAGTTCCTAGAGTCTCAGTATTGCTGAATTTACTTTTATATATTACTAAAAAAGGGACATTCTAGGTGGTTTCTTTATCATTCTCCCACTGTCACTATACTGAGGTGAGAAAGGAGGGGAAATGTCATAATGTTTTTTTCTAGGCTCCCGTCTATTTCTTTTTCACCCTTTTCTCAAATTAATAGTGCAGAAAGAACCACTGTGAAAAACTGTGAAAATGATTTGGAGTCAGATAGTGAGGGGTCTTAGTGAAGGGATTTAAGATTCAAGAGCTAGAGAGATAAGGGGGATACAAAAGAGTTTTAGGTGAGATGAGACATGTCCAGAACTGATTTGGTAGCTGGAGGCAAAGGGGAGCAGTAATGTGGGCCACAGGTAAGGTGGGCCACAGGTAAGGTAAGCCTGGACTGGAGCAGGGACAGGGAGAATGAACAGGAGGTTGGGAGGGTCTGTTGGGGAAGAGTCCAGGTAGAGAATGGAAAATGGCATATAATTTTAAAAAGCTTGTAATTGTTGTCATCCAAACATATAGGGAACTTGCAGCCTTGGGGCTACATGTGACTTTCTGTATCTTTAACTGTGGCCTTTTAACTGAATCCAGATTTTACATTTAGATGCAGTTGAGGGCGGCACTTGGCAGTAGTGAGAGCTATGTGTGGCCTTGAGGCCACAGGCTCTCCACCCCTGGTTGAATTACAATGATGTATAGAAAAGGGCCCTTCCACGTTTGTGGAATGGTATTAGCACAGGGAAGGAAGAAGTTGTATCTATTCAGGTGACAAAATAGAATAATTAAACAAAAATGGACCGGGTTGTTTTTCCTGTAGGAGAGGTGTGCAAAGTAAATGAGAAGGAATGAAGTGGTAAAAGATTTTGTTAGCAAAGACTGAGATTAGTGGATAGAGCTGCAGTGCAGTTCTAAAAATCTATGAGAATTAAAGAATATTATCAATCCCCTATTTTCACCAGACTCTGTCTTGCTGTGAAGTAGAACCTGAATGAGTTAATTGGGGAATTAAAAGTAATGAACTTTAGGGCAAGGCACAGTGGCTTATGCCTGTAATCCTAGCACTTGGGAGGCTGGGCAGGTAGATTTGCCCAAGCTCATGGGTTCAAGATCAGCCTACGCCAGCAGGTGACAAAGTGAGACTCTATCTCAAAAATAAATGAATGAACTTTATATATTTTTAGGTTGAGTTTTAATTTATAACCTGGTATTTTTCTTTAAAAACAATTCACATTTGGCCAGGTGTCGTGGTTCGGACCTGTAATCCTGGAACTCTGGGAGGCAAAAGTGGGAGGATCCCTTGAGCTCAGAAGTTTGAGATCAGCCTGAGTGTGAGCCAGACCCCCGTCTCTACTAAACATAGAAAAATTAACCAGCTGTTATGGAAGGCACCTGTAATCCCAGCTACTTGGAAGGCTGAGGCAGGAGGATCACTTGAACTAGGAGTTTAAGGTTGCTGTGAGTTAGGCTGAGGCCCTGGCCCTCTAGCCTGGATAACAGAGTGAGACTCTGTCTCAAACAAATAATTCACGTTCATTAGAAAAAAATATAAGAAGTTTAGGAGATTGTAAAATGAAAAATAAATCTTCCTTTCCCCTTTCTTCTTGGTGTCATTTCTTTGCTCTGACTAGTTTCTTGTGTATCCTTCCAGAAAAACTTTATACATATACACGTTCATACTAGTGTACATGAATGAGTATATATGTAATGCGTTTTAGTATCTTTGCTGGATTGATGATTTATTGGTAGTACCTTAATCCATTTCCTTAAGATAAAGGTACTTTCAACAATGTGATATTTGATCATCCTTTCATACAGCATTAAAACCTAATGGAGCGGATTTACTCATGGTGAAAACACAATAGATGAGGATTCTTATTAAGCATTATTGCTATTTTAAACCAAACTTAGAAACACTTAGAAAGTTACTGACAGAAACTGATTATTTCCTATTACTTTTCTAGTCGTAGTAGTGTGGATATGTGTCAAATAAAACGTATATAACATGCCAGGAAATAGGGGAGATGACTGACTTCTGTCTCTGTCCTTCGTGTGTCTTCTGTGGCACAACTTCTCTCAATGGTTTTTTTCTTCCAACACTTCCCACTTGTGTTAAAAACAAAGCCGAAACATGACAGATAGCATCACATAGGAAGGGCTCTCCGGCAGTGCTCTGCATGGCTGCCTAACAATTATTTTCATCATTAATTCAGCTGCAGTTTTAGGCTTATCTACTGTTAACATTCATTAATAATTTAGGGCTCATTTCTCTCTCTCTTTTTTTTTTCTTTTAGAAATTTGATGCTGATCCAGCTGAATTATTTGAAATTCCAGTAAAGGAATTAACATTTGACCAGCTCCAGTTGTTAAAGGTAGTAATAGTCATGTAAAATGTAGAGTATCCTTTAGTTTGGGGACTCTCTGCATTTGCCTATATACAGTAATGTTCTCTTTGCATGTGGGGATGATGGTGTATCTAACATCTGTAGAGTGCTTTCTTTTGTTTCATTTTCTGATCCGTTTGGGAGGATGGGTTTGTGCTGATTCATCTGTCTTTTCTGACAGTTTTCATGAATCCCTTTGGTTATTGCATTTATGAAGGAGTGAACTAGGCCATAGGTCTTCATAGGCCATAGGGGTAGCCCTTCTCCCTATGACTTTATATCATTGTATGTGATAGTTGATTTTTATACATACGTTAATTTCTAGATCTTTGTATATTTTGTTGTACCATATAATTTTCTTTTTTTGTCATATAATTTTAAATGGTTCCTCTTCCCATCCTCTTTAGATACCTAAATAAATGTTTAATTAAGTGTAAACAGTTTTCTAACTTTAGAAGTTTTATATTCTTCCTAAATTTGCTATTTGATCATGATCTTATATGTGTATACATATATAAAATATACTCCGTGGTTAATGCCTATTCTTATTAAATATTAGATAATGCTACATTTTAATTGTCTTCTTTAACTTGCTATTTTTTTCAAGTTGCAGTTCTGCTCATTATCTTTGCATAAACTAAGGATTTTTCCTGATTGTATTTTGTGGTGTGTTTTCTAGCTTGCTCATGTGACTGCGCTAAAATCTAAAGATCGGAGAGGTATGTACCAATATGGAGAAACACTTTGCATTTTGTGTAAAGTGTTAGGATTTCGAAAATCCATTTCACATAATCACGGTCATTTTAATGAATGTAATACTCCGTCATCTAAAGATAATTTTAGCCATGTGAAAACCTTGTATATATTTTTAATTGAATGATGTGCCATTTTGTTACTTATTTTAATTTGAGAATCAGAACTCCTTACATCTTTGTACCTACCAATCTTTCCTAACATTCTTAATCATTACAAAGTGGAGCATATATCAAATACAGAATCCAGCTTCAGGGCCAGGCTGAGCCAGCTCTGTCCTTTACCACCTATGACCTGGGCAGGTTACTTGTCTGCTCTGTGCCTCACTTTCCCCAAAGCTTGCCTTACCTACCTTGTCCTTTTGTCATTTCACTTCGCTTTGTACTCCTATGGAACTTAATAAATGGGACTTACTGTATCCATTTTTAAACCTTTTATTTTTGTATATATTGTGGTCTCTTCAAATAGGACGTAAGCCTCTTAGGGGTAGAAAAATATTTTTATCTTCCCAGGAACTATTATGATGCTCTTCATATATTAGGTAATGCATAGATATTTGTTTCTTGTTGTGGTAATTCACAGTTTGAATACCTATGAAGACATTATGAAATGAATGTTTAAGGTTAACCTTACCCAGAACATGAACGTCACTATGTACCTTATAGATACTTGATGACTATTGTAGTAAAATGAATTTTGCCTTTCATTTATTTATTTGGAAACTTTTAATCTTTGAATTTGTAGTACAGATTTCGTGTTCTTTTTAGAATAGCTTGTTCTTTTAATTGTTTTTTCTCTTTTGGAAAAAAAACTGTTCTGTGTTTCTAAAATAATCTATATTAGTTAAATGATAATGGTATAAAAGCATAATAGTAGCTATATATTCTCTTAATTTCTGATTTCTGTGTTGATTTTGGTATTTCAAACAAAAAACTTAGCAGAATGACTAAACTCTGAATTCCATTGAGGAATAACAAATTATTGCTTATGACTGCTTTTTAAAGAATAGTACTATATTACAATTTTTATAAGAAAATAATCACTCTTGGAACTTTTGGTCTATGGTCTTTACATTACATTTTGCAAACTTGTTTTCACAAAAATTTCTTATTTAGAAAATGAGGTTTTTAATGATTAAAAATAATATGAACTCAAGAGCCTTCAAAAATGCTATCTTTGAAAGGATCTTGTAATTACTCAGTGTGTGTGCTTGTGCGTGCTCACACTCTCTCTCTCTCTCTTTCTAAAGATTTAAGAAAAGATTCTTAGTGCTATAGTAACATTTTATTTACTGAGCTTTTGTATTTTAAAATTTTAGAATCCGTGGTTCAGGAGGAAAATTCCTTTTCTGAAAATCAGCCATTTCCTTCTCTTAAGATGGTAAGTTCTTAGAGGAAAACCAGGACAAGGCTATCATTAATTCTTTTATGCCTGAATCATTTATTTTGATGTCTTAAATGAATACTAAAGGCTGTCAAAGACAGCTTTAATATAAAGATAAGGCCTCATGGGTGTCTTTTAGAGAAGGTAGCATTATTGTGTGGCATCCTCATTGGTGCATTTTAGAGAAGACAACATTCTTGTGTGGTACACCTGTGCTACATTTTTTTAAAGAGTAAATTATCTCAAATGAATAAAACTTCACTGTCAATGGGTTAATTAGGTAAGAATAGCAAATTTACATATTTCTGTGTTTAAATGGAAGGAGAAAAGGGTGGGAGGAAGATGCAATGGTGGGAGAGGCATTTTTATGTTTAAAACTATTTCTTAGCTTTTAGAAAGAAACACAGTTCTCCAACAAAAGAAAATAAGTATCTTTGTGTTAATTAAAATAAGACATATTTAAGAATTCATCCTGGAAAAAGTATAAGCAAAAAGTGGCTATATAGACTTAGAGACACATTTCATATAGGAATGCCTTTGACAGTATCAGGAAAGCCCACAGAGATGCCAGGGAGATTCTCGGTCTGCTTTTGCTACACTGGTCTTCCCTAAATTCTGGTCTTTTTTTTGAGACACCCTAGGTAGAGTGCTATGGCATCACAGCTCAACAGCAACCTTAAATTCTTGGGTTCAAGAGATCCTCTTGCCTCAGCCTCCCAAGTAGCTGGGAATATAGGCACCTGCCACAGCGCCTGGCTATTTTAGAGATGAAGTCTCACTCTTGCTTAGGCTGGTCTCTTAACCCCTGAGCTCAGGTGATCCACTAGCCTTGGCCTCCCAGAGTGCTGGGATTACAGGTGTGAACCACCACTGCCGGCCTATGGAAAATAATGTTTGGAGAGAAGCTTATTAGTGGGTTTCATCTAGTAAATTATCTGGTTGCTTAAGTATGGATGTGGATGTATATGACGTAGACAGGAAAGAAGTGACAGCAAATAATCTATAATGAAGGTATTTTGTTAAAATATTTAGGTATGTATTACCAGAGGAGGAGTTCATAAAACAATCTAAAAAATCATTAAAGAAAATCTCAGTGGTTAAAGGTAACTTGAGTATTGATTATTCACTCTGTAACAAGGATGATACCAGCAAGTTCTTAAAATGGACATTGTCCTTGTCTAATTCTCCAGGTATTTATGAAATGCAGCTAAGTAGGATTGTTCCTTCTAGTTCAAAGCTCTAAAGTTATCTGGTGCTTAGAAATTCCATGATTCCCAGACTTCTTGAATCATGGTAAAACTTTTTTTTTTTGCAGTTTTGGCTGGGGCTGGGCTTGAACCTGCCACCCCTGGTATATGGAGCCAGCGCCCTACTCCTTGAGCCATAGGTGCCGCCCTGGAAAAACATTCTTCTAATTGTATTAAAAGTTTGATAACTTTTATTTAGCCAAATAAGTTAAACATGCACATGCACATTTAGTTACTTGACTGTCACCATCATTTAATCATAAAGAAAAAAAATTTTTTTGAGACAGAGTCTCACTTTGCCCCTCCCCCCCCCACCACTTGGTAGGGAGCCGGGGCGGCTAGCTCACAGCAACCTCAGACTCTTGTGCTCAAGTGACCTTCTTGTCTCAGCCTCCCAAGTAGCTGGGACTACAGGCACCCGCCACAGCACCCAGCTCTGTCTTAGAGACAGGTCTCACTCTTGCTTAGGCTGGCCTTGATCTTCTGAGCTTAAGCAATCCATGCACCTTGGCCTCCCAGAGAGCTAGGATTATAGGCATGAGCCACCACGCCTGGCCCTGGGCATTTTTTTACTAAAATTTCTTCATTAGGCCAGGCCCAGTGGTCTGATCCCTTGAGCTCAGGGGTTTGAGACCAGCCTGAGCAAGAGAAGACCTTGTCTCTACTAAAAATAGAAAAATTGCTTGCCATTGTGGCAGCTACATCTAGTCCCAATGACTTGGAAGGCTGAGGCAAGAGGATCTCTCAAGCCCAGGAGTTTGAGGTTTCTATGAGCTGTGATACCATAGCACTCTACCTAGGGCTACAGAGTGAGACTCTGTCTCAAAAAAAAAAAAGACCTCACATGTCAGCTTTTATAGGTTAATAGCCAGGCTTCATATTTTCAATTGATTTTCTGTTTACAACTACAGTAGAACCTCTAAGTTGACCACCCAAAGGACTGTAACAAAATGGTTAGCATATGGAGGTGATTAACATAAGGAACTAGGCCTAGTGTACTGACACGTACATGTGGTGCATGTTCGGTCTGGTGAAAATTAGGTCAACTTAAGGAGGTGGTTAATGTAGGGAGGAGGTCATTATGCAGGTTCTGGGGTAAAATAAAATAATCTGATTGCAAAGTTTCTAGATAATTTAGATAAATTGGCAAAGTATTTGTTCATTTATACAGTAGATGATAGCCATATTGATTTATAATGTTGCCTGTCTTATTACAGCTCACTTTAGATGTTCAGTGAAAAGGATTTTATTTTATTTTTGAGGCAGAGTTCTGGGGTTGAGTGCCATGGCTTTGTCATAGTTCAAAGCAACTTCAGACTCAAGCAATTCTCATGCCTCAGCTTCCCAAGTAGCTGGGACTGCTGGCACCCACCACAATGCCTGCCTAGTTTTTCTCTCTTTTTTTTTTTTAAATTTTAATTTCTTTTTGATTTTTAAATTAAAAATTTTTTTTCTTAAAAAATTTTTTTTTCTATATTTAGTAGAGATAGGGTCTCACTCTTGGTCAGGCTGGTCTTGAAATCCTGAGCTTAAGCATTTCACCTGTCTTGGCCTCCCAGAGTGCTAGGATTATAGGCTGGAGCCACCAAGTCCTGCTGAGTGAAAAGGGTGGTGATGGTGATTATTTATCAGAGATACTATCTGATACTGCTGCTTTTGCTGTTCAATTGCTTTTGACTTCCTTATTTTATGTACTAACAATCAACCGGGTTCTCCGTTTGAGTATTCGAAAAAATAGCGTTTTATGCTGAACGAAGAAAACATTTTATTCTTACTAGTGTTATATTATTATTGATTGCCTTTGTAATAATAGGTTTCTTTGTTTTCTTTTTCTGTCACCTATCTCATCAAAAAATGAAATTGACCACCAACAAACAAAACTCTAGGTTTTAGAGGCTTTGCCAGAAGATGTAGGGTTTAATATAGAAATAAAGTGGATCTGCCAACAAAGGGTGAGTAATTGTGTATGCAGCATACTCCGCCCTGCCCCTGTTCTAAAAAGTTCTTTTTTTCTTAATCTCTTTGTTCTAATGGAATAAGTGAAACGAAAATCTTACTGGTTTCCTCCATCAAGCTCATTGCTTCTTGGACCTTTTAAATAAAGCACGTTTTACACTTAAACTAATATGTGAGTACCTAGTGATGAACGTAGTAGAAATTTCAGTTTACGTGGGTCTTGTGTACAGATTTCACCTGAGGTTTATGGGCATGTTTATAAAGTAGACAGCCACAAGTCATAGACCTCTGATTTAGTTTCCCTAGACAGTGTCTTCCTGTATCGTCCAGTCTAGAATGCAGTGGCATCATCATAGCTCACTGCAAACTCAAACTCCTGGGCTCAAGCAATCCTCCTTCTCAGCTTCCCATGTAGCTGGGCCTATAGGCATGTGCCACCATATCTGGTTAATTATTTTTAATTTTTATTTTTGTAAAAATGGGGTTTTGCTACAATGCCTCGGCTGGTCTCAAACTCCTAGGCTTGAGTGATCCTCCTGCATCGACCTCTCAAAGTGTTAGGATTGTAGATGATTTCATATTTTATTTAGTTTTTATTTTCCCATCACCATCTAAAATAGATTTGAAGCAATTTTCTAAGGAGTTTTTGATAAGGTAGCAGAAGCTAGTAATAATTACCCTTGAAAAAGAAATTTACATAGTTAATTATATTATAAATCACTCTGAGATTTAGTTATTTCTTTGTTCAAGAAATATTTCTTGAAAAGCTGCTATGGGCCGGGCATTTTCTGAGTGTGGAAGACAAGAAGTAAAGAAGACAGAATAAGGCCCTCTCTTCCCAGTACTTACATTCTAGTGAGGAAAACAAAGCTATTGACTGTGTCACGGAGGAATATGTGTCATTGGTAGGATACATGGGGAGAGGGTTACTGTGAGGTAGGGGGAGGAAGTAGTTAATTCAGGCTTCATGACGAGGCATCTGGAACAACGTCCTTGAATTTATCTTGTTCAGAATAATGTATAACTGCTCTGAAATCATGCTATTTGAGGCAAGCTGGTCCTGGTTAGCATTAATAAATGCTCAAGCAAAGTTTTATTCATTGTGCTTTTTTTAGTTTTCTGAGCTTATATAATTACTTCAGCAAATCATATGTTGTATAAAACACTTCATATTTGAATGTCACTAGGGCTGACTCTTGGTGTCTTGGCTACATTTATTAAATTATTTTAATTATTTTTGAGGGGACTTGATACACTGAAAGCCCAAAGAATGAGATTTGTAACTGGTAATTAATAATTAATAGATTTTTTGATAGTGTGTTAGCAAATGAAGTATCCTATAGCTTGTGAAGATAAAATCATAGTAGATTGTAAATTTCCATAGCTTTAGCTTTTTAGCCTTAATAAAGCAAAAGTCTATTGTGTGGTATAGTTGTTCACTTTTTATGGGAGAGTCTCCACACCTGAATTACAATTGCTATGTTACTCTATCTCTATTAAAAAAACAACTATTTAACAACTATTTGTTGTTACTTTATCACCTTCAGTAGAGTGCTGTGGTGTCACAGCTCACAGCAACCTCAGCCACGATGCCCATCTATTCTTTGTTGTAGTTTGGTTGGGGCCGAGTTCAAACCTGCCACCCTCAGTATATGGGGCTGGTGCCCTACTCACTGAGCCACAGGCGCCGCCCTCAGATAGTTTGAGATGTTGATCAAGTCACTAAATGTTTTCGCTTTCCCCATCTGTGAAATAACTGTTAGACTAGAGACGCAGAGCTATTTCTAAACACTGTTATTCAGCAAGTGTAATGCTTTTCCTTTCCCTTTTTCTTTCACATAGGATGGAATGTGGGATGGTAACTTATCAACATATTTTGACATGAATCTGTTTTTGGATATAATTTTAAAAACTGTTTTAGAAAACTCTGGGAAGAGGAGAATAGTATTTTCTTCATTCGATGCAGATATTTGCACAATGTGAGTAATATTCAGTGATTTTTTTTTTCTTTACTCTTAGAATGTATCTAGGATATAAGACACAAGTAGTGGTTGAAAGTGAGGAGTTGTCCAGATTCACCCCTGCTCTGTCCTCTCAGTCGGGTTGTGTGGATTTTCATGTCCTTTGTGACTGTTAGCTGGTGGGTGCCATCTGTTCCTTTGAAGTCCATAAGGACTGGGTCCTAGAGCCACAGAGCCACACACCCTGTTTTATTTCCCAGAATATTATATCCTTCTTACCAGAGTGCAAGGGCTTTCTCACTGACTATTTTTGAGAACACTTTAGGCCCTGTAATGAAAATATTTTTTAATTTTTATTTTCTGACTGAAAGGCAACATGCATTAATGGTGGTTCTGAGTACTGGGCTTATACTTATGTTTGTTTTCTTTATACTTTTAGTATTCCTTAAAACGTCAAAGCAGGATATTACAGTTATTTCCCCAATGAAAAGTAATTTTTTAAAAATTATCTTTTTTTAGGGTTCGGCAAAAGCAGAACAAATATCCCATATTATTTTTGACTCAAGGAAAATCTGATATTTACCCTGAACTCATGGACCTCAGATCTCGGACAACCCCCATAGCAATGAGCTTTGCACAGTTTGAAAATCTACTAGTAAGTGATCTTTTAATTTTTAACATTTTTCTATTTTATCTTTTACAACAGTAGTAAATAAGATTTCATATTAAAGATCTAAGAGTTAAGGTTTTGACTAGAGTATAATAAGCAAGTAGCTCTACTTAACAATGAAGATTTTAGATCTGAGAATGCAAAACAGTTAAATGAAAAGTAAAAATTGTCTTGCAGGCTTACATTAAGTTTTTAATTTTTCACAAATGGATTTAATGAATCATTTAAAATGGCTAGTTAGACTATAAATTTGTTTTGGCAGAGCATTTCCTTAACTAAAAATGTTTTGACCATATATTCAATATCTACATCTTCATAAATTAAGTTACATTACTAATATGCTGTGAAAATAGCCATTAAATAGAAAAAGATAAACAGGCAGAAACATTCAGACATTCTCCTTTCCTGCCCACTGTACTGTGCAGAGCACTGACCCAGATAATGAACGTTTACCATTTGCAGTTCCTGGTCACTTTCTCATGAACAACTCATTTTTCTTCTTTCAGGGAATAAATGCACACACGGAAGACCTGCTCAGAAATCCATCCTATATTCAAGAAGCAAAAGCTAAGGGGCTAGTCATATTCTGCTGGGGTGATGATACCAATGATCCTGAAAACAGAAGGAAACTGAAGGAATTTGGAGTTAATGGTCTGATTTATGATAGGTATTTGTTTTTCATGAAACATTTTCATGGAATGTCAGAAAAAGTATAGTTTACATCTTACAAAATGAAAAATAAAGTTAAACTTAGTTAAGTTAAAATTCTGTAGTTGAGCCTCAGGTTTATCTTGACATTTGTTTGTCAGTGGGTGTTTTCAAACTTTGAAGTATGCCAGAATCCCTGGGGAAGCTTGTTAAAAATTCATTTGATTGGGCCCTAACCCAGATGAACTAAGTCATCTTGTGGGTGAGAGTGACTGCCTGCCCAGACACCTTTCTTGTCTATGCCAATTTTCTTGGTGATTCTCATTCAGTTCTGTGGCTTTCATACACTTACATATTCCTCCCATTTTTTTTTTTTTAAAGACAGAGTCTCACTCTCTTCCTAGGCTAGAATGCTACGTGTCAGCCTCGCTCACAGCAACCTCAAACTCCTGGGTTCAAGTGATCCTCCTGCCTCAACCCCTCAGCCCTCCACAGTAGCCAGGGCTATAGGCACTGACCACAACACTCAGTTAATTTTTCTATTTTTAGTAGAGATGGGGTCTTATTCTTGCTCAGTCTGTTCTTAAACTCCTGAGCTGAAAGGATCCTTCTGCCTCTGCCTCCCAGAGTGCTAGAATTATAGCAATGAGCCACTGTGCCTGGCCTATGTTCCCAAATTTATATATTGCCAAGTCGTGACCTCTGTAAACTTTTCTGTCCTGGTACTGACACCTATTCCTTCTGTAGACTTCCTGATTTTAATATAAATGACAGTTACATCCATCTAGTTTCTTAGGCCGAATTCTTGGAGTCTTTTGTGATTCTGTTCTTTTATTTCATATCCCAGTCCAGACAGAAAATTCTCGCTTTATCTTCAAAATATATCCTTAATCTGTCTACTCCCCACATTTATCATTGTCACCTCATGTCTGGTGTGGATTACTGATGGAGCCTGCTCCCTGGAACTGCCTCCATGCAGACTGTGCTCAGTGCAGCAGCTGGAGAGCCTTTAAAACTTCATCGGGTCATGTTGCTGCTTAAAGTTCTCCCATGGTTTTCCGTGTCACCTAAAGGGAAAAAAGCCAAAGTCCTTACAAGGCCCTGTCTATCTAAGCTGATTCCCCTCCCCCACGCCTCCCAGGCCCCTTTCCCTCTCTGACCTTATCTCCTACAGCTTTCCCCATCTGCTGTTCCTCTTTCTTCCAGACAGAGAAAGAGTCCTGAAATACCACTTCAGTGAGGCTTTTCTTCAATAATAACCTCTGTTCCCAATGTACTTCCTGACTTGTCCCTCCATGTCACTTATCACCCCCTGACGTGCCATGTATATATTATATTTTGGTTATTTTACTTGTTTTTTCCACTGGCAACTCCCCCGCCCCTCCAAATGTGCACACACAGGCAATGACATAAGCTCCATGAAAGCAAGGCTTTTGACTGTTTTATTTTCTGCTGTGTATCTTTGAGACTAATGTGTGATACACAGCAAGCAAGAACTCAAATAGTTATGAAGCAGACCATTTTCTGTATTTAAAATCAGTTCCTTTGGTGTTTATGAGGTAAGTTTGAAAGCCACAAATTTGGGAGACAAAAAGTTGTCTTAGTATAAAGAAAGTTGGGTTAGAAGGGATTCATTTATTCTGCTGAGGGAGTAGCAGGCTTGCTAATAACAGGCACACCTTGGAGGCAATGCAGGTATGATTCCAGATCACCACAGTAAAGTGAGTCACATGAATTGTTTGGTTTCCCAGTACGTATCAGTTAGCTTTATATTATATTGCAGTCTTTAAGTGTGCAGTAGCATTTTGTCTAAAAAACAATGTACATACCTTAATTTTAGCAATACTTTATTACTAAGAAACACTAAGGATTTGAGCCTTCAGCCAGTTGTAATTTTTGCTGGTGGAAGGTCATGATTCCATGTTGAATGGCAGTAAGACTTGAGAATCAAAATGACTTTTTTTTTTCCTTTGAGACAGAGTCTCATTTGTCTCCCTTGATAGAGTGCCATGGTGTCATAGCTCATAGCAACCTCAAACTCTTGGTCTCAAGTGATCCTTTTGCCTCAGCCTCCAGAGTAGCTGAGACTATAGGTGCCTGCCACAATACCTGGCTATTTTTAGAAATGGGGTCTTGATTTTGCTCAGGCCGATCTCTTAACTTCTAAGCTCAGGCAGTCCACCCGCCTCAGCCTCCCAAAGTGCCAGGACTATAGGCATGAGCCACTGCGCCTGGCCTCAGAATGACTTCTTGATCCATGGGCTGCAGAATGAATGGCAGGAAAACAAAATTTATCTCTTTGTACATCTCTATCTGAGCTCTTGAGTAATTGGGTGCATTATTGCTTAGTAGTCATTTTTTGTTTTTGTTTTAAATACAACCTAGAAAGCTAAGGAAGTACTCATATTTTGAAAGGAATTTTTTTTTTTTTTTTAAAGAAGGAGGTCTCAATAGTGGGTTTAAAATCCTTAGTAAACCATGCTCTAGACAGATGTGCTGTCATCTAGGCTTTGCTGTTCTATTGCTAGGACACAAGAATAGATTTAGCGTTATTCTTAAGGGGCTTAGGAGTTTTGGAAAGGTAAATGAGCCTGGCTCACCAGCTGCATCAGCCCCGAGCAAGAGAGTCAGCCTGTCCTGTGAAGCCTTGAAGCCAGGCATTGACTTCTCTCTTTGAAAGGCCTAGATGACCACATCTTCCAGTAGAATGCTGTTTTGTTTATATTGAAAATTATTTTTAGTGTAGCCACCTTCATCTGTCTACAGGGTGTCCCAAAGGTCTCCATAAATAGGAAAAATTTTAAAACTCATATTTAAAAACTCGATTTTTTTATATTTATATATCCACACATAGGGAAATATTTTGTAGAATTTTGTAATAAATATTTTGTAAATAAAGGTACATTTAATTATAACTTCCCATATTCCCTAATGTATGGAGACCTTTGGGACACCCTGTATTATCTTAGCTAGATTTTCTGTTTAACTTGCTGTAGCTTCTTTGCTTGATGCTTCACCTTTTACTTGTATCTTATGGAAGATGCCTTCTTTCCTTAAACCTTGTAACCAACCGCTGTTAGCTTCGTAATTCTGCAGTTTCCTCACTTAGACTTGATAGACGTGAAGACTTAGAGCCTTGTTCTGGATCCCTGGGCTTAAGGGAATGTTGTGGCTGGTTTGATCTGTCCAGGCCACTAACATTTTTTCTGTTTAAGCAGTAAGGCTATTTAGCTTTCTTATCATTCATGTGTTCCCTGGAGTAGCACTTTTAATTTCCTTCAGGAACTTTTCCTGTGCATTCATTACAACTCGGCTAATTGTTTGGTGTAAGAGGCCTAGTTTTCAGCCTGCTTCAGCTTTCAATGTGCCTTCCTCACTATGCTTAATCATTGCTAGCTTTTGATTTAAAGTAAGAGATTTATTATTCTTCTTTCCATTTGAACACTAGGAGGCCATTGCAGGGTTATTAATTGGCCTACTTTTAATGTTGTGTCTTGGGAAATAGGGAGGCTTAAGGAGAGAGAAAGAAATGGGGGAATAGCCAGCAGGTGGGACAGTCAGAACACACACAGCATTGTTAATGAACTTAATGAAATTGAGCTTGGCTTGTACCCCAAACCATGACATGAGTAACATCATAGATCCCTGGTCACAGATCACCATAATTGATTTACAATAATAATAAAAAAATTGAAACATTGCAAGAATTACCAAAATGTGATAGAGACATGAAGTAAGCACATGCTGTTGGAAAACTGGCACTTACAGACGTGCTGGTTGTGAGGTTGCCAGAAACCTTCAATTTATAAGAAACAGAAGTATTTGTCAAACACAATGTAACAAGGTGTGCCAGCACTTGGGCATCATCATACCAGGAGTAAGTGATGAAATTCTCACAGGCCTGCTTTAAAAAGGAGACTTTCCTGGATTTAGCTCATATTACTGTCTGCCCTGTATGCCCCAAAACTATTACGTTAGTAATATCATAGATCCCTGGTCATAGATCACCATAATTGATACAATAATAATGAGAAAATTTGAAATACAGGGTGTCCATAAAGCTCGTGTGCAATATAGAATTATACACTAGTTTGGGGTTAGAAAGAACTCATTTAAAATTATACGCCGTTTTAAATTGCACACATGAGTTTTATGGACACCCTGTATTGCAAGAATTACCAAAATGTGATACAGGGACATGAAGTGGGCACATGCCTT